CTGTGTGAACTCTAATTAGTGTTACTTAACCCTTAACTAGTCGCGCAGGTGCACTGAGTGCTCCGTTTTTACTAAAACCTCTATAACTTTTTGTCGTTTTCTTGGAATTAAATGCCCTTTCCATGTAACCTATGACTGATGTGTCTACCATGCACTGTCGACGGCATATTCAGTTTAAACTACTAATTTCAAAGTTATGGACAGAAAACTTGAGATTGATTTAGAAATAGTTCACTAAAACGTAACTAAATTTCAATTTTTGCAATGTAAAATATTTCTAAATCAACAAAATATGGAATTTAAAACCTAATGGTTTTTAAGGTATACATTTTTCTAAGAATACACAAATAAAAATAGAACGGCTAAATTTTATTCTGATTTCTTCTTTTCTGAGTAGAAGTAATAACTTTTTTGTTTGTTTAATTTTTTGTTATTTGCTTTTTGTTTCTTTTAAAATAAATATTGTGTTTTAATAAAAATAGAGTTAATTCATCCGAATATAAGCAAAAGTAATATTAAAATTGAAAACATTCAGCAATATAGCCATTTTAAGGAGCGGAGCACTTAGTGCACCGCGCGACCACTTATGTTACAAAAATTGGCGCGACTAGTTAAGGGTTAAAGTTGATTTTTTTTATTGTGTATTAGTCGATTATTTATAAGTAATCATAGTTGCATTTTGCTAGTTCCAAAACGTCAGTTTTGAGTGACTGTCAGTCTTAACATACAATCGCATTGTGTTTTTGTATATTATTAACGCTTTATAAAACTTTAAATTTCACTTATTCTTAGTGCAAAAATAAAATGAAACAAAAAAAGTTACATTAATTAGCGCAAATATTATCCCGGCGCATCCGCCAATTTTGACAATATTTTTTATACAAGCAAAGAAAAAATTTACCAGTTAAATTCTTTTCAATTAATTTTTTACTTCCATTTAAATCACCGAATATTAGTCCAATTTTATACTAGACAATAAGTCGGGAAACAATTTTTCTGCCTTTAAACCTGTTCCCCATTTTAATTTTTAATCGCCCCTTTGAAAACCCGCCTAGTTCACAAGAGTTTCAGTCTTTTGATCGATGAAGTCATCTTTCATGATTTATAACTTCTAAACTTAAGACTCGCGATTTGTTGCGTAACTTTTGTAAATATATTAATTTGGGTATTTTTTAATGTTGAGCGGGTTTAAACAAAAATACCTACAAAAACTAAAAATCATGATGTAAAACTTAACGTTGAAAATGCTGTTTAAAACTGAACCTAAAATTCTATAAAACTCGCGAATTTTGCGTCGTGTCGTTTTTAAATATTTTCTTTTAGGATGTCAGGTTTGTGGTTGTAAACTTTACTTTTAAAGTGTACCCAAAGAAAAAAGTCAATAGTTTTTGTGTAATTTGTTCTAAACCACAAAAACCTCAACCTTTACCAAACAAACGTATGCTATGGCAAAGATTTTATTATTTAATTTCAATGAATTTGTCTGGAAAATATATTAACATAACAGACACAATATTATTATGTAAGTTTCAACATTTTCACATTTATATTTTAAACTGTCATGTCATGTCTATTAAATTGTTTTTTTTTATTTTTCTTTTACAGCACAATTTAAATTCTAAAAATATAAAAAACAGATTTTTTAAATAAATACGAGGTGTTTTCAAAAAATATCGGTAATTTTCGTTTTTTGAAACAAATATTTATTTATTCGTCTACATTAATATTCTCGCCTTCAAAATAGTCCCCATATTATGCACACGTGCCAGCTCTTCTTCCAATACTCGAAACACTTCTAAAACTCGATCTTTGGGATAGCCTTTAGTTCTTTCAGCGATGCGCTTTTAATGTCATCTATGCTTGCAAAACGACGGCCCTTTAAGGTTCTCTTTATTTTTGGGAATAGGAAAAAGTCAGACAGAGGCATGTCTGGCGAATATGGAGGCTGGGGCATCATTACAGTATTATTTTTGGCCAAAAAATTTGTTCAAAATTTAACAATTTTAGAACAAATTTTGCTGCCACGCGTTTCATACCCAAAACATTTCATGGGATAAGCCAATCGATATACCAACATTATCAGCGACTTCTCTGATGGTTTATAACCATTTCTTCCACTTTTTCCATGTTTTTATCAGTTGTTAATGCGCTTGTGCGTTCGGGGCGTTCGTCATCTTCAACGTCTTCACGGAAATCTTGGAAACTCTTATACCACTTGTAAACTCTTGTTTTACTTATAGTATAGTATATATAAATTTTTTTTATGACAACCGGACCCTCTGAACACACCTCGTATATATACAGGGTGTTATGTAATTAATGTTATATATTAAAATACTGAATACCTTTTGACATAAGGAGTAAAGGAAAAATATTTAACAAAATATTTTTCCAAAGATGAAGAAAAAATATGCATTAGAAATTTTTTAGATTTTTTGTGATACGCCACTGGTTTATCTCTGCACACTTGTGTTCTGTGAGGACATAGATACCAACCAACAAAGTAGCTGCAGCGCATGCGCGTTGCCAGATGTAAAAAATTGTTACTAAAAATTTTTCTTGCAAAAAATAAATAAAAACTCAATAAATACAAAAGTTTTATGCCCTTAAAGCTCTAATACCCTTCTGTATTTATTTACTCATCCAGCTAATAGCTTAAGCAATGATTAGAAAATTTAGTACCTATTTTAAAAAATCCATAACCACAAAATTAATTTTTTCATCGGTTTTTATCTTTCTGTTTACTCAGATGAAATTGGGACCAGTTCACAGGTTAAACTTTAAACATTTAATTTGTGTAAATAAATCCAAAAGCACTTCCCTTAGTTAAGATATTTACAATTTGAGCACATAACCTAAAATTTGAAAGAAATGCACTAGATTCTGTCATAAAAGTTGGCAGATTTTGTTTGAATTTAACTTCAGTACAAAAATGACATAACCAACAATTAATAAAAACGCCAAATTGACAATTTGCATTGTTAATTTTGTCATTTTTGTAATTAAGCTAAATTTAAACAATGTTTGTCAACTTTTTTGACAGATTTTGGAAACACTGTTGTTACCAACCATAACATAATAAAGTTCCTAGTCGATCAGTGGCGTACTTTTTGGTAGAATAAATGTTATTATAAATTATTTTTAGACTTTGGAATTTAGAAAAAAAAGTTTCAGGTGCTTCTTTATGGACCCTAAGGAACAACCAATTTTAATATATAACATTAATTACATAACACCCTGTATTTTAACTGAAAATACATTACAATATTATTTGTAAGTTTAGTTTTAATCCTGTTAAATTAATTAATTGTTTAATTGCATATATTTATTGTTAAGTGAATCTTAACCTTTAATCTAAACTTAGTGGAGTAACGTTAATTTCTAAATCTTGATTAATAGAAAAAATGTTCTTTGCGCATCCAACAATTTTTGCCGATATAATAGTTGTAAAGACAGTAAAATTGTTTTGTTTGTTATGTTTTTTTATGAAGAGCCATTTTCAATGCCTTTGATGCAAATAGTAGTAAGACCATAAGGGAAGTTGCACTTTAAACTTAATATTTTATATAAATTAAGTAGGTAATATGTTAAAGCGGTTTAATATAAAATATTATTAAATTTTCATATTAAAATTTATCATAAAATTTAGCTGTCAATATATTTAACGTAAAATATAATAAATAGTATTATATTTCTAATATCATTTATTATTTTTTTTTCTTCGTGTAGTTAAAGATAATCCCGATAGAGAGGAATTCTGTAGGTTGGCAGAGATTTAGGCTCTGGGGTACTGAACTAAAGTTCATTTTTTTATCTGGACTGCGGCAACGTTACAAATTTTGGTGGTGCTTGGATGAGTAAAATCATATAAAAAAAGTAGTTAAATATAGGTTGCTTTACGGCCCAGAAGAGAAAGTATTCCTAGCGGATAATAATCTTCACTTTGAAAAGAATTTATATAAAAGAAATAAAAATTTTTTGTGAACGTAAATGTTGTCCGATGGTGAATAATGTGAAAATAATGTGGGATGTAATATTTATAAAACCAAATTCGTTACTTTTTTACTCCAAAAATGTCCATAAGGCGATGTTCTTTTTCTTCCATTGTGGCATTTGGCATAATTTCATCAAAATGAAGTTTTGCCCTCAAAAGAGCTTTTACATTCGAATTCGTTGCTATTATTTTTGGCATAATTATCTTTTTATTTATTATTGACAAATAAATTATCAATAATAAATATTATTGTCAATTTAACAGTGTCGAAGTATTTAATTAAATTCTTTAGCAGAAGTACCATTTTTAAAAACTAAAAATATCAATAAAAAGTCAAACTGGCATAAGCCACAAACCTAACAAAAAAACACGAGTCCAGATAAAAAAAGGTCGGACAAAAGATATTTAAAAGTTTTAAGACAATGTTCTATAATAATAAATTAATTTCTAATAACGCCATTAGAATAATTAAATGTCGAATTTATTCAAAAACAAACGTGGTGAAGTCAAAATAAAAATAAACTTAGTGGAGTAACGTTGATTTCTAAATCTTGATTAATAGAAAAAATAATCTTAGCGCATCCACCATTTTTAGCCGATAGTTGTAAAGACAGTAAAATTGTTTTGTTTGCTATTTCTTTTTATAATGTCACCATTCATGAAACTTTGATGTATGGTAAACGCCCACTTACATAAATTTTAAAATGCAAAGTTTGGATACCTAATTTTATTGAAAAATGTGAAACTTTATGGTCAGTGAGTGAAATATAAATGTTTTGTTTTTTATTAATTTTGTTAATTTGTTATTTTGGTGCCAATTGTTGATAGTATTGTTGTAAATTAAATAAATATGGGTTGTTACATTGTTTAGAAGATAATGAAGAAAAAATTAGCCTGGGCTTCATTCAGAAATCCGGCGAAAAGTGAGAAAACAAGAAGTGAACGCCCACTTTCTTGGGGTCGTAGGCGGAAAAAAATTGTTTGTAATTTTTTCTGAAAGACTTACCTTTTACATGACCGATACGAAGGAGTTTGCAAAACGATTTGGCGCGGCGAAATCCATCGGGCCGAAAAAGAGTGGGCTTGGCACACGACGACACTGATGCAGCGTAGGCGGCTGGTGGCTGTGGCTGCCGCCGCTCATCCCTTGCGACTGGGGTGCAGCAGCATCCCGCCCAAACTGCGAAAGGGGCCCGCGGCCCGAATCGCCCCGACGGCGGCCGAACGGCAGCCAGTCAATACCCGGCCGGAGACTCTGTTTCGCATCCGAAGGGCCGAGCCACATTGCGGTCGAGTTCTGCATCGCATAGGCCCCACGGTGATTAAAAGTGCACCCCGAGAATTTCCTCTTTTGATCAACTTGAAACGCGGTCCTTATCTAATTATACCAATATCGATCTGACCTAGCCAATGACTATGGAATTAGCCAATCACATTTGCAATTTGCATCCAAACGCTTACTACATTACTCTTCATTCACTTATTTCATCATAATACAACTTAACACTGTTTAAAATATCTGTGGTGTATAATTGTTATATACAGCAAACACCAAAACGGTGTTTATCTAAAAATATTTGAGAAGTGCACCTACACTCTTAGAAAAGACCTGGTATTTGCAATGAAAATTTAGTTCTCAGAACCAATTTTATTAGTGAAAATAGGCACAACAAAAAAATATGTTGTGGGAACCAATACAAATTTGTTTTTACAGTTTGTTGTCGGAACAGCCAATATTGGTAGCTCCAACCAACAAGTTTAAGTGCATCGAAATTAGTTTTTTTTTTCATACAAATAATTGATATTTAATGCAATCACATTAGTCTGTCATTTTAGCAGCGTCTAAGTTGTAACAACTGCACTTGCTATTTATCGCAACAAACATTGTATCATGCAGGAATTTATTTTTTAATTGAAATTACATGAAAAAAGGTACATTTAAAGAATTTAATAGTTGATATAATATAAATTTGTTTTGTACTGTAACTAAGTTATATTTAATATTAAATGCTTGCATTAGTAGCAACAACAAATTGGTATTATTCCACAATACATACCTGCTTAGTAAATATAACACTTTTTGTGTAAATATTATAAAAAATAGAGAAAGGAAATTCATGCCCGTTCGTTTTGTAAATATTTATTATAAATTAAAAAATAACAATATAACTGAAAACACTAAATTTTGGTTTAAACATTATAACAAAAATTAATAATTACTCTAAGAAAACATTTATAAATATTTTAACAATAAAACAAAAACGATTCTTTGGTAAATATACACAGATAGGTACATTAAGATGAAAGTTGACTATACTTCTTCAGTAAACCGTGATGTTTACGTGAAGTGCAAGCCTTTGTTTAACAACTTAACAATTATTCTTAGGTACAACGTAACATACTTGCATCATTGAGTAAAGAACCCAACTTCTCTACTCAATGCTTGCATGATAACAGGGGTAAGCATTCGATAAATTTTGAGTGTGAGTGCCTATAGTATAGGCCCTAGGGCCTATACCAAAAATGCGACTTGAGCTGTAACAAAACAAAACAAAAAAATTCTCGAAATTCCGACGTGATGGAGACTTTTGGTGGGCACCATTGGATTCAGGAGGCCATTTTCAGCCGGAATGGCATTTTCACAATTTTGTATTTTTTTTCGGGCCCCAAAACTACAATAGTGTAATTAAAGGAGTGCAATAATAATACCTAACCTTTAAAAACTGGAACCAATTCAGGTTAACCCCATGTTCCTAATAAATCTGCTACTTCAGTCCGCTCATCCATATTATTTGTTCGATATATCTATAAGTAACCAACACAAGAATATATTCTTATATATATGAATAGTTAAACAGTATGTCGCCACTGAATTTACAGGGGCAAATGACTAATAATTGTAATAAACTAGTTTCTTACTTAAAATATACACTACACACGAGCTGATACACAAATACAAAAGAACAAACACCACCGAAGTCTGGACGCCGTGCAACACCGTTTGTTTACAGGTTAAAAGTAAAGCACGCGCCGGGCTGGACAAATCGCGCGCGAAATGCACAAAGTTTGCACTTGCATTAACCTACAGAGACAACATCCCCAACTGACACTTTGTAACAAAGTCTTTGTTTCACACCGCTGGTGTCTTAGCTGTGTCAAAGGTGACGCATAGTTTATACAACCGAACCGTTAGTTCCACGGACTAATTTCGGTCAGTTGAGAATGTTACTTAAATATTTGGTCCAACAAAAACATTTTACCGCCGAAATGATTTTTTTGAGATAATGTTGTCAATACTTCTAGCCAACACAAAGTTTCAGTTAAAATAACTTAATCGCCTTTTTGCAGTAAATAATACTCAACAACAAAACTAAATCTTTTCAGGTAATGATGCAAGCAGTTACACATATAAAGGTACTGATTACAAAAAACAAAAAATTTTAGTTTCTGCAACAGTTTTACCCCAACGATAATAAGTTAGTTACAAATACCAGGTCTTTTCTAAGAGTGTACACAGAAAAAAAGGAATAGTTCATTTAACTATATTTATTTAGTTGACGCATAGGTATTTATTTAAAACAACTGTGGGAAGGTTAATATAAACAAAGATTAGTTTGACAATACTAAACCAGATAGTTATTTTATTTTTTTTAAATTGGTTAAATTAACCCAGAAAACTTTAGTGAAACCAACCCGCTGTATGGTTCAGTTTAATAAATATGTTTTTGTAAAATAAGAGTTACTTCAACCTAAAGCACTTTGTTAAAACGATTAAAACAATTTGCCGTGCATTCCTGGTTGCATAGTGTGTACCGATCGCGGCAAAGGCGGTGTGGATCAGGTGATGTTCCTAAATCTCGCCTCTATTGACTTACATGAAGAGTATATAAGCTCAGGTAGTCCTTTGCTTTGGTGTGACGCTACAAGTTGTTCGATAGTATCGATACTAAAGAGATCTTAAATAGGTGGAAACGCTTACTACATAACTCTTCATTCACTTATTTCATCATAATGCAACTTCACATTGTTTAAAATATCTGTGGTTTAAAAAGTAATCTTAAAATGATGTCAAAATCCAACACCAAATGGTGTTAATATAAACACCATGGTTGAAATTGTTATATACAGCAAACACCAAAACGGTGTTTATCTAAAAATATTTAAGAAGTGTACCTACACAGAAAAAAAGGAATAGTTCATTTAACTATATTAATTTAGTTGACACATAAGTATTTATTTAAATCAACTGTGTGAAGGTTAATATAAACAAAGATTAGTTTGACAATACTAAACCACATAGTTATTTTATTTTTTTTAAAATTGGTTAAGTTAACCCAGAAAACTTTAGTGAAACCAACCCGCTGTATCCTTCAGTTTACTAAATATGTTGTTTGTAAAATAAGAGTTACTTCAACCTAAAGCACTCTGTCAAAACGATTAAAACAATTTGCCTTGCATTCCTGGTTGCATAATGTGTACCGATCGCGGCAAAGGCGGTGTGGATCACGTGATGTTCTTAAATCTCGCCTCTGTTGACTTACATGGCTCAGGTAGTCCTTTGCTTTGGTGTGACGCTACAAGTTGTTCGATAGTATCGATACTAAAGAGACCTTAAATAGGTGGAAACGCTTACTACATAACTCTTCATTCACTTATTTCATCATAATGCAACTTCACATTGTTTAAAATATCTGCGGTGTAAAGAGTAATCTTAAAATGGTGTCAAAATCCAACACCAAATGGTGTTAATATAAACACCATGATATATGGTTGAAATTGTTATATACAGCAAACACCAAAACGGTGTTTATCTAAAAATATTTGAGAAGTGCACCTACACAGAAAAAAAGGAATAGTTCATTTAACTATATTAATTTAGTTGACGCATAAGCATTTATTTAAATCAACTGTGGGAAGGTTAATATAAACAAAGATTAGTTTGTCGGTACTAAACCAGATACTTATTTTTTTTTTTAAATTGCTTAAATTAACCCAGAAAACTTTAGCGAAACCAACCCGCTGTATCCTTCAGTTTACTAAATATGTTGTTTGTAAAATAAGAGTTACTTCAACCTAAAGCACTCTGTCAAAACGTTTAAAACAATTTGCCGTGCATTCCTGGTTGCATAGTGTGTACCGATCGCGGCAAAGGCGGTGTGGATCACGTGATGTTCTTAAATCTCGCCTCTGTACATGAAGAGTATATAAGCTCAGGTAGTCCTTTGCTTTGGTGTGACGCTACAAGTTGTTCGATAGTACCTATCGGTACTAAAGAAACCTTAAATAGGTGGAAACGCTTACTACATAACTCTTCATTCACTTATTTCATCATAATTCAACTTCACACTGTTTAAAATATTTGTGGTTTAAAGAGTAATCTTAAAATGGTGTCAAAATCCAAGACCAAATGGTGTTAATAAACACCATGAATTATGGTTGAAATTGTTATATACAGCAAACACCAAAACGGTGTTTATCTAAAAATATTTGAAAAGTGCACCTACACAGAAAAAAAGGAATAGTTCATTTAACTATATTAATTTAGTTGACGCATAAGCATTTATTTAAATCAACTGTGGGAAGGTTAATATAAAGAAAGATTAGTTTGACGGTACTAAACCAGATAGTTATTTTATTTTTCTTAAATTGGTTAAATTAACCCAGAAAACTTTAGTGAAACCAACCCGCTGTATGGTTCAGTTTACTAAATATGTTGTTTGTAAAATAAGAGTTACTTCAACCTAAAGCACTCTGTTAAAACGATTAAAACAATTTGCCGTGCATTCTTGGTTGCATAGTGTGTACCGATCGCGGCAAAGGCGGTGTGGATCACGTGATGTTCTTAAATCTCGCCTCTGTTGACTTACATGCAGAGTATATAAGCTCAGGTAGTGGTGTGACGCTAAAAGTTGCTCGATAGTATCGATACTAAAGAGACCTTAAATAGGTGGAAACAGCTGTCATTACAAGAAGTATTTTAAGTTGGTGGAACGCACTAAAAACATTATCTCTAGCGAGTTGAAGGTTCAATTTTCTGAAATAATACCAATGATAAAATACTAGTAATGCGTCAAGGAACTTCCTGTTTCTTTTTTTTCCTTTTTTATTCTGCGTAGTTTAATATAATTTGACCAAAAACACATAATATTTAACACTGGAAAGAAGTTCAATTTACACCAGGTAAAATTTATTTTAATACTGTGTGAAAGTTAAATTTACACTATTTTAGTATTTGAATTTACACCGGACCAACGAACCATATTTAACACCATTTTGGTTTGTATCGATATAGACCATGTATGGTGTTAAATTGGTGTTAAAATGGTCATGAAACTTTGAACAGTGCATCTGTAGGCTGTTTTAGAATAAACATAAGATTTTTCACCACTTACTCACATCTCATGTCTCCAAAGTCTACTTTCTCCCTTCTTTATTAATGAATAATAGAACTAGCCTCCAAGATAGTAGGATATAATGTCGTGCGACTGTTACGACTTGTTACCATTGTTACAAAAATATACTCTTTTATTGTTAATAATACGATAAAAAACATCGCTAGTACCGCCACTACGTGGCCATTATCATCGTAAGAAAACTACAACTTCTAATAACACTATGATAGTTCGAATTACTATGATTGAGCCACCTATATTACCTAATTTGGGCTGCTGATTTCAAAAATGCCACTTGTTTTGCTCCAGGACGTCTAGGATTCGAAATAATTGCGTAATAAAATGCTCTGCCCAATTATCTCAAAATGTAAGTTTTTCGTTAATATATTGATTATTTATTAAATTATTTTGCCTTAAATCTTTTCGTCAAAAATATATTATATATTTTTTTTTGTTTCATTGTAGCCGTATACTATAGTAGTATTATATAAGCGATATTTAATAAAGCACTTTTCTGCATTTAAAAATGCTCTTAAAGTTGTCATTGAAAACGTTCTTGGTTCATATCGGGCCTAAACTTGGAGCCAATGCTCTCCGTTTTGTAAAGAATTAGCGTTAATATGTCATTTTAAATACATTTTCCTTTTTTTTCTTCACCCTGATAAATTTGCCGAACTGATGAACATGGAGAACGATTTCACCAAGAAACTGCAAATCTAGAGCATTGGTACATATCTATGGCACCAATTCATTGAAAAAATGCTCTCCGTTTTGTAAAGAATTAGCGTTAATATAACATTTAAAAAACTTTTTTTTTTCATCCTGATAAATTTGCCGAACTAATGAACATGGAGAACGATTTCACCAAGTAACTGAAAATCTAGTGCCTTGGTAGATATTAATATGTCATTAAAAATAGATTTTTTTTTTCACCCTGATACATTTGCCGAACTGATGAACATGGAGAACGATTTCACCAAGTAACTGCAAATCTAGAGCATTGATAGATCTATGGGTATAGCGGAAAGAAGTTGGATTCATTGCTAGGAGACATTTGCTTAAATTTGCAGCAAAAGATGTACGACGATGATGAGGATTACGCACAATAATACTATAAATTTGAGGTAGAAAAAAGCAAAATTATGCAATGCATTACATTTTGTGGGCTTAATTTGGATAAAAAATACCAAAACTTGTTTACTTTGTTACCCTTTCAAATAAATAATTAAAATAAACGACAAAAAATGTCAAATAATTTCGCAACGCGCGCGCCATCTGGTGGACTGCAAAAGCATTGCGTGAATTTAAGAATTGCTCGATTTAGCTGTGCAATTGAAACTATGCGAACAAAATTTGTGAAGTAAGATTTCTGCCTTCTGCCTTTTTGTGAAAAAACACTTATTTATTTTAAAAATTGTATGCTTTAAATGTAAAAAAACCCGTTTGGACCAACTGTCAGAACTACCTAACCTCACTTTAAACTTGTAAAAAACATTATTTTAATTATCCGTTTTATGTATCGTTTAACAAATAAAATTGTACCTTAAAGTGTCTTTTTGTGGTTCAGAGTGTTCAAATTTTGAGCTCAGCACGAAAAGACTTATTTTTCAGACTAATGACATAAATAACTATATTTTAACAATAAAATTTATTATAACTATACAAAATTCTCGACCGAAGAGTGATAACCCAAGGCCATATCAATCAAGGAGAAGGGACAATCATGGAATTCCGCGCATCCATTCTTTTCGTCTCCAAATCCCATTCTCGATGCCCAGTGATAAAGTCTGTGCTCTTCTGGCTCGTTTGTCAATAACTTTTGCTGAGGAAATCTAAAAACACAACACATTGTATTTAATTATATGCATGAGTAAGTCGATTGCGTTATTTGGAGGTAATTTTGAACAAATTAATTAACATTTTATATGCTTATACACTGTATATTATACAGTGCGAATTAAACTTAATAAGGTGTAATATACCAAAAAAATATTAGTAGGTAGTATCTACTAGGTACCCCACTCTGCGTTTGTCTAAGCCATTTTGGTTTGGTACCTAATTTATGACCTTTGTAAAGAAGCTTTGTAGCCTACAAAGCTTCCTTACAAAGGTCATACAATAAAAATAAACTTACAAATTGTAGGTGCCTAGTGTTTATTTGTTTAGGTTGAACGTGCTTAAGTATTTCTTGGTTTATATTCTGGCGTTCCTAAAGTTTACTGCATTACGTTGCTATTTAATAAATTTTTATGTGTTGCAATTGCAATTGGTTATGCAATTAATTAAATGTACTTATCTGTTTCTGTAGGAGTCCCTAGTTCCGCTTTTGTTTGCCACGTTGATGTTTTGGTACTAGGCATAAGCAAGGATAATTCTGGCAGGTTATTTCCAAAATAACCTCAGTAATGATTTGAACAATACATTTGGGTAAAATGGATTGATAGATTTGGGCCACAGCCATGTCTTGAAAATGTGATAATTTGGCCAACAATGTTTCTATCATTACAATTTTTTTTTACTTTATAATTTTTTTGTTTGTCCCGAGTTGGCTAAATTCGTCATTTCGAAACTATTATTTTTTAATGAAAATGCCATTTTCTAGTAAATTCGTGGTTCATTGCAAAAATGGTATTTTATCTAGGGTCATGAAATTGGGGTTACCAATATGAAGTGTAATTTAGAAGTTTTTGACATATTTTACATGTTTTTGTCACTTAACTTTTTATTTTTTTTAATGAAACACCCTATGCATTTTTACATATTTTGATTGATTGTGAATACATATACAATACATACACGTATACCTATGTCATTTGTCAATTTTTAGCAGGTCTTATAATTTGTGACTTTTGGTGAAAGTTGTTAAACGAAAAGATATGAAGTAAAAAAAAAATGTGGCAATGTCAAAATTTGTATCCCAATTTTTGCCTTAAAAAAAATAATTTAAAAAAAATTGAGTTAATTCACTTAATTTTTTTAAATATTTTTTGTATGAAGTAGGTAGTAGTAGTAAAAATTGAGTTAATTCACTTAATTTTTTTAAATATTTTTTGTATGAAGTACCTAAACATTTACCTACAATTTAAAAAAAATATAACGATCAAAACATTTTTGGCCAAGTTATCGCATTTTCAAGAAAAAATGTCACTCGTAAAAAAAAAAATCGATGTTTCTGTACATTTTAAAAAAATTACCCAAGGGGGACAAAACAAATTTAAGCAAAAAGAAAAAATACAGATTTCATCGATTTCGGTTGAGAAAATTTAAAAAATATTTTGTTAAAAAATACCTGGTTGATTTGATATGGAAAGGCCCAAAGGCAACTTTGACAAGCATTTATAAAAGATTAAAAAATAAAGTTACTCATGTTATTAGATACCTCTTGAAGAAATGAAAGGAACTTACACGAATTATGAAGTAATATTTAAGTGGGCTTTTATTTGAATTAGTTGAAATTGTTAATTGCGTTAAAGAATAAAATCCTATTAACTTTAATTGGAAATATTACTTTTTATGTTTGAATTAGGTACAATACTTTACCTGAAAACAATACTTAAAACTTTATCTAAAAGATTATTTTCTTTGAAAATTAGTTTTTCCGAAGTCTCACACAACGCCCTCAATAAACACCTTCTCCCATTATACCCCACGCTAAAACAAACTTTGATTATTTAAATTAAAAACTTTTATCGAGCACATCACTTACGAATCAATTAAAGTTTCCATTTTTCCATATAAATCACGTCGGTTTCTACGCTTCGTTGCAGCTAATGGCTCTTTAAAGTCCTTAAAAGATTTAGTATCGTTTGGTAATTCGTACGATATTCCCCAATTAATGCCTTCGGTAAATATTTCTCCCGGTGTTATTCCCATCTGGGCTGTCATACAAATGGCCACCTAAAGTTTAAAATGCTATTTTATTAAAATAAGTATGTATGTATATATAAAATTAAATATATAAAATGCCAAACGCAAGTGTTTTTGAAACCATTTTTTAAGTAATAAATAGGGTAGGTAGGTATTTATATCATAATAATTTTGCCGCAACAAAAAAATTATGGAAAAAGGTCTAATACATAAATGTCAAAGCCTTTGACTCAAAGGGTAAAAAATAAAAAAAGGACCACATGTGGTTTCCGGCCCATGGGCATGCATACACAGTTTATAATTTCAAGACCATTTTAACACCAAATTAACAGCATGGTCTATATCGATTCAAACCAAAATGGTGTTAAATATGGTTCGTAGTCCAGTGTAAATTCAAATACTAAAATAGTGTAAATTTAACTTTCACACAGTATTAAAATAAAATTTACCTGGTGTAAATATTATTTGTTTTTGGTCAAATTAAATCATACTACACAGAAAAAAAGGAAAAAAAAAGGAAACAGGAAGTTCCTTGACGCATTACTAGTATATTACCAGTGGTATTATTCCAGAAAATTGAACCTTCAACTTGCTAGAAATAATATTTTTAGTGCGTTCCACCAACTTAAAATACTTCAAGTATTGACAGCTGTTTTTACCTATTTAAGGTCTCTATCGTAGCTTCGAACAACTTGTAGTGTCACACTAAAGCAAAGGACTACCTGAGCGTATATACTCTTCATGTAAGTCAACAGAAGCGAGATTTAAGAACATCACGTGATCCACACCGCCTTTGCCGCGATCGGTACATACTATGCAACCAGGAATGCACGGCAAATTGTTTTAATCGTTTTAACAGAGTGCTTTAGGTTGAAGTAACTCTTATTTTACAAACAACATATTTAGTAAACTGAACCATACAGCGGGTTGGTTTCACTAAAGTTTTCTGGGTTAATTTAACAAATTTAAAAAAAAATATCTGGTTTAGTACCGTCAAACTAATCTTTGTTTATATTAACCTTCCCACATTTGATTTAAATAAATACTTATGGGTCAACTAAATTAATATAATTAAATTAACTATTCCTTTTTTTCTGTGTAGGTGCACTTCTCTTTTAGATAAATACCGTTTTGGTGTTTGCTGTATATAACATTTTCAACCATAATTCATCGTGTTTATATTATCACCACTTGGAGTTGGATTTAGACACCATTTTAAGATTATCCTTTAACCACAGTGTACTGTTATACAAATCAGATTTGTTAACATGAGTTTGTTAATTTTATTTTGTAAAATTTTAACATATTTTTTTGTAGAAAACCAGGGTTTGTAATTATTTTAACAAAGGTAAATATTTTACCGAAAGTTTTGTAAAGGTAATATGCGATTTTGTAGGCATTTTGTTAATTTCAAAGGTTACAGAGTATTGTAACTTATGCTTCTGCTTACTTTATTTTAATTCGTAACGTGTTGGTCACAACTGTCCATAGTGTTTATAATATATTACCAGAAATTGCTTTTTATTAATGACATTACTACATGTGTAACATGACAATCCAAAAGTGAAGATACTTTTTTATACAAATTTAAATCATTCGCAAAATTCAACACATGATGTGTTGAATTTTGCGAACTTCTTTTATTCGCGGATGATTTAAAGTTGTATAAAAAAGTATCTTCACTTTTGGATTACCAAATGCTCCAATCAGATCTTAATCGTATTGCTGACTGGTGTAATAGCAATTTTCTTGAGTTAAATATAAGTACATGTAAGGTTATTTATTAGTATTCGTACTTGTAATTATAATTACTTTATTAATAATAATGAACTGGAAAGTCTCCACTATGACTGATTTATGTGTATTGTTTGATAAAAAGTTAACTTTTATGCAGCATATTGATAAAATTGCTAATAAGGCTAAGAGAATGTGTGGTTTTGTTATTAGACAATGTCAAGATTTTACTGATATCCATGCTATTCTTATTCTTTTTAATTCTTTGTCTTGCAGCATTTTAGAATAGGCACCAGTTATATGGACAGTGTCCAATGGACACCCTCACAACAGTGTAATATTAACTTCAAAACCTCACAAAAAAATTGTGAAATTTTTGTTATTGAAACTTAAGATTTCTAATAAGTAATATTAGTTATCCTTTCTAGGAATAAAATCGCTAGAAATACGGCGTATAAACTTAAAAAAAAAAATTTATGTTTAAGATATTTATAAATATCTTAAACATAATTTTTTTTCAAAGTTTATACGCCGTGTCAAATTATTATAATAATTTGATTTATCTCCACGCGGTCTATAATTTAAACTTTATTGTTGTCAACATTCGATAAAGAAATACCTTGTTATGGCCTGGGCCGATAAAAAATTTTATGAGGCAAGTAATTAGTTCGATTTTTTCTCGCTAGGGGTATTGCTTTGACAAATTAATCCTTTACCAAGAAATTAAGGTACTAAACTGGTTTAATTTATTTATAATAAGCACTAATTTGTTTGTTTTACTGTTAATGTTTAATATTTTTCATTAAATTATTGTAAAATTAAATATGAATAATAAAACAAAAAGTGAGGTTAGGCAACCAAGAAAACGCACGATTCTTTTTCTACGATTTAAATTATCTTTAAGTTTTCAGTGAAATTAAATGTTAAACACAGCTTAAACATTCCAAACTACCTATTTTTTAAATAAAAATCCAAACAAATTGAATTTATATACCTACCTATTTATTAAACAATTAATTGAATTCAATGTAATAGCAAAAATCCATTTCTACTTAAATCATGTTACTAGGTATTGTCAAACTATTACTGCTTCTAGAAGCAATAATAATTATTGTACATTTAATGCAATCTTTAGCTAATAAATAAATGAGATTCTAAAAAAAGTGAGGTTAGGCCGCTTTGTTGTTGAATTAAATTGACCTATATAAAGTGCTTTGAAGATAAAATGTTGTATGCCATTCGGCCAAGAAATGCCTTTTTGTGCTTCGCTCAATTGTAGGCCTCCGCTACGCGTCGGCCTTCAAACCTTGAGCTTAGCACAAAAAGCCTTACTTCTTAACCTAATGACATAAATAACTATTATTGTTCTGATATATTGAAACTTTTTTCTTTACGTGTACCTACCATCAATACTCGCAATAGTGCATTAATACATATTCCATTGTGTAGAACTAATTACAGACAATTCAGTTGTGTGCCTAGATTGGCACGTAATCTGAATGTCTGCAATATCGATATTTTTAATGTTAGCAAAGTACCTTATTAATAATAGTTAATTATAATATACTATAATATAATATTATATAATATAATAATTATGATATATTTTGTTTGTGTATTATATATATTTTTTCCTTCTCTTTTTGTTTTGTTATAAAAATGTACTTGGATTTTCTCTGTATGTACTACTAAATTAAAAAAAAGAGAATTCTGTTATTATTGCTATTCGGATTCTTTATACCCATTTAACGAGTGCGAAGTATTTGAAACTGAAATTAGGGGATACAGTGAAGTGGGTTAAAGTTACGAGATACGTGTTGTAGTAGTACTGATAATTATATTGTACTAAATTTCTTTATAATTTTATGATTTCAGAAAAGTTTGTTATTTCTTATCAAAATTCTTTTCATTTAAGTTCCCAATTTCCAACAAATACTTATGTTACTGGGTCCACAAAGAGGTTTGTAAAAATAACAAAAATTAAAAGGATTATGGTTAAATTATTGACATAGGATTTTGTTATTAAATCCACAAAATGTTTGTTATAATTACATAGGTACTACTTATTCAATTAGTTAACAGATTACAGTTGGTTGAAAACTTAACATAAAGTTATGTGGACCTGAATTAACATAAAATCTGATTATTATTTAGTTAAAATTAACAAAAAAGGATAAATACCTCACCAGCTAAGGGGTTAAAGTTACATTAATGAAATTAATGTGTAAATTTGTCCCCCTGAAAACAAACCTATACGGGTCCGAAGATTTTTTTTTATTTTCACATACAAAGCCGTAAACCTTGCTGGACTGTTTTCGATGGGCCACTTTGTATAAATATCAACAAAACAAAACAAAAACACTTTTAGAAATATGTGTCAGGATAATGGTAGAAAAATCTATTAAAACCTTCATAAACAAAAAATCTAAGTACGAGCCCTAACCACATAATGTTCGGACACTTCATAATTTATACAGAAATTTTTTTCGTGAATACTATCTCAAAATTATTAGAAGTTATGAAAAATTCAGCTTATTTTGGCATATACCCCTCGAAGCGATTTTTATTTTTAAAAAGTTTACCTTTTATTTTTAGCTTTTAAAAAAAGGCTAACTTTTTAACTTTTTTTTGCATGAGTAAAAAAAGTTATAAATGGGCCCATTAAAAAGAACATAAAATATTATACAAACCCTGAAAATTTGGTAAAAAATAAATAAATAATAAGAAAGTTATAGCGATATATATATCTGCAAAATCTCCCGTTTCCTAAGAAAATTGCAAAAACTCTTTAAAAATAGCATTTTTAAATTACTTATACTTTTTTATAACTTATTTATTTTTTACCAAATTTTCAGGGTTTGTATAATATTTTATGCTCTTTTTAATGGGTCCATTTATAACTTTTTTTACTCATACAAAAAAAGTTAAAAAGTTAGCCTTTTTTTAAAAGCTAAAAATAAAAGGTAAACTTTTTAAAAATAAAAATCGCTTCGAGGGGTATATGCCAAAATAAGCTGAATTTTTCATAACTTCTAATAATTTTGAGATAGTATTCACGAAAAAAATTTCTGTATAAATTATGAAGTGTCCGAACATTATGTGGTTAGGGCTCGTATATACTGCTTACCGATAAACTGGATCCTTCTGGAAATGTTAGATATCGTCTTTTCCTCGATAAAATCTTATCACAAAATGTAAAATTAATATTAAACACAAGGAACACAGATATACAAAAAAGTTTCCCATTCATTTTTAGTGTGCTATGAGTGGAAGTAAAGTACATATAATCATTAAACTTGGTTAACTGTTAAACGGATGTACTAATTATAATTAACATAAAGTTTCAATCTTGAATACGGTTTAGATAATTAACTGTTGTTGTTGACATATGTTGTGTTTGTATTGTATCTTTATTTTATAATTTCTAATTTGGTTGCACAAAATTGTAGATATTGGTGGAAACAGAAAATGTCCCACACATTTGGCATAATTGGTAATAGAGTAAAAGGTCCCCATTTTAAAAACGAAACTCTAAATGGTCTTAAGGTACTTAACTTTTCTTGAATGGGTCAGTTCAGTTTTTAAACCAAGATGATTCAGACTTAAAGATATTAAGTTGTAGGTGATTTATTTTTATAAAAGTATAAGTATAATCTACACATCAAAAAATAAAGTTTACATGTTTTTGGAATTTTGTTTTTAAAACACATAGTTTATTCCCTGTATAATTTCATATTTAATGCATAAAATTAGGTTAAACATATTGGAGCTAATAATGTGTAGGTTATTGATAAAAAGGGAAACCTGTTGATCTGGGATGTAATGTAAACAGGTGATCGATTAAAAACAAATTTCCTTATCTTCAAAAAAATTTATTGATTAACACTTGATGTTTCCTGAAAGCACTTTATAGATCAAATATTCAACTATCAAAATAAAAATCGGAAAATTTATCCAGGAACGATTGTTTACAGTCGGGAAAAAGCTGATTGCATTTTCCTTGGTTGTTTTTTCCTAAACGTTCGGCCGCGTAATATTCGTTGTCTGTGTGGTGGCTCAGTTCTTCATTTGTTGTGGATGGTCTGAAATTAACAAATGCAAAAATACACACATAAAAAAATCTAACATAGTACCAAGAACAGCGCTGTCATTGATTGCATTAAAATTAAAGCAATCTAAATTGTTATTTGCTCAATTAATTACTATTAAACCAAAATAGGGAAATATTTTGCCTAAATGTCAAAGAATTTATTGCGTTAAATGTATACATAGTAAACATACAATAGTAACGTTATTAAATAAATCAAATTAGTATTTAATGCAATAACATTCTAACATTCTAACAAATAAATATCAATATGAATATCAATAGATTTAGGATCGATAACTTTTGCTGTTAATTTAAAAACAGTAAACGATTATAAACCAAGTGCTAACTACCTAATGGTATTATAGGAACTGTTATTCAGGAATACGGATTACAAGATCCCATTGGTTTAATGGCTCACCCATTCATGCTATGCTAGGGTTTTTTCTGTGCACATGGGCAAAAGAATTTGTTCAAAGAACTGACACCAAAACATCTGTCATGAATCCAGTTAATAAATGGATTGCTGCGAGCAATAATTTTGACCCCCGAAAACAATAGAGTAGCGGCGGGTAATATGAAATACATCGGCTAATATGGAATACCATATAATTGGCTAAACTTATGCTGCCATCTACAAGGCGGTAGCAAAAATATGCTTATCTTAAGTACGGATTTATACCCAAACACGCGCGTAACTCTGTAATCGTTCGTTAAATAGTTATTCGTCAACACCTGTTTTTCAGTCATGCAGAATTTTTGTTGAGTTTCGTGAAAATTTAGTTTATTATCATTTAGTTGGTGATTTTTTATTCATATTCTCATCAGAGAGCAAGTAAGGACTGTAGATTAATATAAGATGTAGTTATTGCGGGTCTATACTCGTCTAGACATCTTAAAAAAATTATAACCTCAACATAACTAAGAGCGGCTAATATGGAATACTATTCCATATTACCCGCAAAAGTTTCCCCATAAAAGTGCCATCTAAAAATTAATTTCTTTTGTTTAAGAAGTCTTATTCGAGCACCAGGTTATCAACAATGCCTAAAACTAGGGTCGTAGATAAAAAACGCAAAAAGTGGAATGAAGAAAATATGAGGAAAGCAGTGATAGCAGTCAGGTCCAAACAAATGGGTTATTTGAAGGCTTGTAAAACATACAATGTTCCTCGAGCTACACTTTTCAGGCTGTGCAAAAAGAACATGGAACCTGAAGTTGTGTGCCGTACCAAATTAGGCCGTAAGCCCGTTTTACCTGATTTTTTGGAAAAAGAATTAGTTAAGCACTGTCTAGAGATGGAGAAATCGTTCTTTGGCTTGACGCGTCGCGATGTTTGTAATGTTGCTTTTCAATTAGCAAGAAAAAACAATATTCCTCATCCATTTTCATTACTAAGAAAATCAGCTGGCAAGGATTGGCTTCATCACTTCAGAATGAGGCATAAAAATGTTTTAAGTTTGAGAAGACCTACTGGAACTTCGTACGCTCGCGCCTTAGGATTTAATAAAGAAAATGTAGACACATTTTTCGACCTGTTAGAGACCCTAATGGAGACGCATAATTATTCGGCAAGCCAAGTTTATAACGTGGATGAAACTGGTTTAACCATTGTTCAATCAAGAAATCCAGAAGTTTTTTCTCTAAGGGGAAAAAGGCAAGTTGGGGCAATGACGTCAGCCGAACGAGGTTCACTTATAACCTCAGTCCTTTGCATTAGCGCAAGTGGCAATTTTGTACCCCCCCTTCTGATTTTTCCCAGAAAAAATGCCAGTGAACTTCTAAAGAAGGGTGCCCCGCCAGGAACCATTTTTTCCTTTCATCCGTCAGGCTGGATTCAGATGGATATCTTCACACAATGGTTCAAACATTTTCTAAAACATGCTAAACCGAGTGCAGAAAATCCCATTCTACTGATTCTAGATGGTCACCATACTCACACTAAAAATTTGGACGTTATTTTGGCTGCCAGAGAAAACCATGTGACTTTACTTTGCTTACCGCCACATACAACTCATAAGATGCAGCCATTGGATAAAACTGTTATGGGAGCATTAAAGACATATTACAGTGAGGAAGTAAGACTATTTTTAAGAACTAATAATCGGCCTGTCAATCATTTTGATTTAAGTGAACTTTTTGGTAACGCGTATCTGAAAATTCAAAGTGGTGAAAGATCTGTTAACGGATTTCGACAAACTGGATTGTTTCCAGTTAACCGGAACGTATTCTCCGAAGAAGACTTTATTCAGGAGGCACAAAGAAATGAGGTCCAAGTAAATTCAGAAGATGATGTGCTCCGGGAGAAACCTCAACCAGAAAACACGGCTCAGAATGCCACCATAGTTTTACCACGGGATATAATTCCCAAGCCAACTTTGAGGAAGAAAGAGGGCACGAGAGGTCGGAAAGCAGGTCAAGCCAAAGTTTTGACGTCGACCCCAAACAAAGAAGAGTTGGAGCAATCAATAGAAATAGCGTCAGTTAAAGAAAGGGATAAAGTTAAAAGAAAAATAGAAATAACTAACAAAAACAAAGAGAATAAAAAACCTAAACATGCAGATGCAGAGGTAGCTGGACCAAGTGGCGTACAAAAATTTCAAAAAAAGGCAATAAAGAAATCAAAAGAAGGTAAATATTCATCAGAAGATTCCAACAGTTCTGCATCTTTACATGACTCATCATCCAACGACGATGAAGAATTTCCTGTTTATGATCGTCCATCTGAAGAGGCTGAGTGTTTGTTTTGTTCGGGATTATATTCGGCTGATACAAGGGGAGAAATCTGGATTCAGTGTGCAAGATGTGAACTTTGGGCTCATGAGTTATGCGCCGACACGCCAAAGGATGTTTACATTTGTGATTTTTGTCGCTAAAATTTCCCTATAAGCATATATTTTCTAGTTCATTTAGTATTTCATATTACCCCATAGTGGTATTCCATATTACCCGACCATTTTTTTGTAATGTCAGAATGTACTTATTTTATTTAACCTTATTTTTTTTTTTAATTCATAAAGTTTTTGAAATTCCAGAGTTTTATTTGCCTAGATGGATAGTTATCACAATATTTAATGACTTTTCTAATGCACTGTACTGCACCTAGAGGAATTTATTACTATAATAGAAAACAGTATTCCATATTACCCTCCGCTACTCTACATTGTGACCCCCTCACTATAAACTATAGGATGAGAAACGATTAAAACATTTAAAATTTATATGACCAATTTAAAAATGATAAATTTAAATATTGGTTTTGATATATTTACACAAATGACATTACAATCAAAACACGATTAATTATTATGACTTGAAATCAAACTATATTGATTTCAAGTTATTGAAACGTGCAATTGACGTTCTATAAAAGCTGCAACTAACGAGCAAATAAACAGCAAAAAGTGCTTCTGGCGTTTGAAAAATGATATTTCGTCATCCCTCATTGAAAACCAAACTCTAAATAAGGGGTAAGTTGTAACTAGAACATCCAAACTAAATTGCTCTTTGAAATACACAAAATTAGTATTGACTCTTAACCCTAATTAAAATTTTATCTTGTTAAGCATTTACTATACCAGGTAATAATGTCAATAATTCACCATTTGAAAAAGAAAGTTGACCCCAGTTTTAAAATTATTTTTTTATCATAACCCTTTTATCCATGATCCCTCTAAATTGCACAAATTAAATCTTTTTGCGATGAAATTATGCCGAATAAGCAGATCCAAATTTTTTAAAATTTTAAAAAATAAGGGGGAATTAAAAAAAACAAAAAATAAAAATTATTTGATGTTTGGTTCAACCTTTTTGTGAAAAATCTAGTAGTTAATTTTCCTTTCTTTAAAAATAGGATCCATTTGGTTTTGTATACCTTTCATCTCCATCTTATAAAATTTAAAATATTTGCTTCTAATTATTGGATTGTAAATTTTTTTTGAAAAAGCCTAATTTCTGTTATTTTAATATACTATTACTTACGTAAAAGTTGAGTGAAATAATTCTTCAAATAAACCATATTCCTGATCTACTGGCGTATCAGCAGCTTCACAAATTGCTTTCAAAACACAGGATTTACCATTATGGCCTCGCCTAAAATTAAAAAATGTTTTGGCGAAGGGGCTGTAAGAAAGTTTTTCCATTTTCATTTTAAAAAGTTTGATTCTCTGGTTGACCAGTCACCAACACTTGCAGAAATTTAATAAACTGAATATTATCATTTTCATTTTAAAAGTGAATAAATTCGTTTTGAACCGTCTTTAAGGGGAAACTTCTTTGTAAACATGAAATAATCATTAAATACTTTTACTTACAGCTCGGCTTCTTGTGAGAGCATCTTATAGATATCCCATCTGGACAAAGACCTTTTTCTCCTTTCATATATAACACTGCCACTTTCGTAAACTGATGCGTTTTGAGGCATTGGGTAATTTCCCTTTATAAACAGACCAATGATTGCGGTCTCAAGCTTTAAATCCAAGGGAATTCCAAGACCTAAAATAACCTGAAAAATTAAAATCAATATACATATATTATAAATTTTGGTGCATAACAAGTACCTACAACACTCTTTAAAATGTACTAAAAGGCTAAAATAAACAGTTGTTACAGAAGTATGCTTTGTAAAACCCCCACATCCATGGGCGCCGGAAGGAATTCGTCTAGGGGGGGGGCCTTAAAGTTTTTTACAATTTTGATAGATGTTATTTATAATCAAGTTGTACTGTAGAAGTTCACATTAAACTTAAGTCAAATAAAATATCATCTTTATATGTATATATATTTACCTATTTATTTATATTGGTATATATTGCAAAAAATACATCACAGTTTTTTGGTAAATATATAAATATAAAAAAATTGTATCGCCGAGGAATCTCCTCTAGTAGTACAGCCGTCTTATGTATACGCTATACAAATTATGATAAATTAAAATATAACAAAAAAATTAAATACAAACATGAGTAATATTTTAAAAATAAGTTATAACAATAACAAAAACTTAAACATAAAAAATGTGGTTGCACTGTAGCGACTTTTTTATGTAATACATATCGATGTTATGCTATAGCATGACATAGAGTAGTAATAACAGGATAATTATAAGCAATTTTTGTGTGTAACACGTCTTATTTTTCGTTTTGCAACACGCCTATTAGATATTATGGATATTTATAATATTATAGAAATTATGGAGTACCGGAATTTCTGGGTATGAATTTCCAGGGGGGGGCCGGGTCCCCCCTGCCCTTATGTAGCGGCGCCAATGCCCACACCCACTTATTTTTTTAATTTTAATATTGTCAGCACTTACTACTACTTGGACCAATGAAAAAACTAGTCAGATTTAATCTAAACTTACTCTCTACTTTTAACAAATAAGATATACCTATAAGTATTTTTTTGTTTTTTTGAATATACAGGGTGTCCCAGAACTCGCGCCACAGAGAAAAAGGGGGCGTCCGATAGCAATGGAGATGCCAAATTTAAAAATAAAAAATTTCTAGGTAATAGTGTAATCGAATGAGAGCAAAAAAGCGGCAGCCAATACCGAGAGCTCTCGCCTAGGTTAAACGCTTACGTTTAACTCTTAAGCTTTAAAAATTGCTAGGAGACGATAGAACATTGTTGTATTAAAAACATTTAAAAATCTTTTGGCCAACTGTATTTACTAAGTTGTCAAAAGCTTTAAAAAATGAGGTTATTAATCTATGACTTATACTTCAGAACGCCAATGTTTTAAAATAACGATTAGGAAAGGGCTGGGAAAAAACTCGCGTTGTCTCCCTGGCGTTGCGCCCACACTAAATAAATAAATAATTATCATTTCAGTATAATCATCTAAAGAAAACATTATTTATAATAACTTAATTTATAACCTAATATAATATTAATGACAGGAGTTTGACAGCAGTGTCACAATAAATTGGATTCCAGTGGACCAAATATTTTACATATTTTTTATTATCAACAATGCAACCTAAGTATCCTAGCAATTTAAAGAATTCCCTATGGCCATCTATTGGGATTGGCTATCGTTTTTTATTCTTATCTCGCTTATCCTTTGCGTTAGACAATTTTAATTTTCAAATATGTATTTCACGTTACTTTCGGCACGTTCCGGTTTTCTATGTGGCGCGAGTTCTGGGACACCCTGTATACAGTTAATTTTTTTTATCTGAACTCGAGTTTTTTTGTTAGGTTGGTGGCTTATGCTAGTTTGACTTAGAATTTTTAGTATTTAAAAATGGCACTTCTGGTAAAGAATTTAATTAAATACTTTGACACTGTCAAATTGACAATAATATTTATTATTGATTATTTCTCTCATTATAATATGAACCAATCATGATTTTGCAAAAGCCTTAAATTTTCGAATTAATTTCGTTTAAATAAGCGATTAAATCACTAGAACATTTTTTAAAAAACAATAAAAAATAAGTTATCTAGTTTACGAAATATCAATTATTACTTATTACATACCGTAAATTGATGGAATTTTCTTTAAAAAAATATTAATAAATTTTGACACATACGTCAGATTTTATGAATTGTCAAATAGTTTCCTTTAATTCGAGAAATAATCTAGACGTATATCACTCAACCTATAAATTTAATCTGTCAAACTATGCTCAGTAAGTTTTTTATTTGATTTTTCTTTTTGGATAATAGTTTCATGCAAAATAATTAAAAATAAAACCCCTCGACCAACTTGACAACTGTATTTACCAAACAAAACTTTAAATTTGCAACGTTGCCACAGTCCAGATAAAAAAAAAACTTTACAATCTTTAAGGATATGTTTATTAAAAATTTCTGAACATTGCTTTGAATTTCGAACCAACAAAGTGGAAACCCTCCTTAATATTCGTTTCTTAAAACTTCCAACTAGAAAATCTCATTAAACTTGCATACTCTACTAACTTTAGAAGAATTTCACCTAGCAAATTGGACAAATTTCGAAATTTATCTGCTGGAATTAAATTAAAATGGATTTAAACTAAGAAAATAAACTTTGGGCTGGCTATTTTTATTAAAGTACAATAACTATTAAGATTCTTTGTTGGAAATTTTTTTAAATCACAAATGTATATTAAAAATATAAATAAAATGTCTCCATAAATTAATTTCCAATTAAAACTCTATTACCGGACTGACATTACATTTTTTCAGTTTTAATACAAATTAATATTACAACAAAATATTTTAAGTTAGATATGCTTTGAAAAAAGTATTTCCTTGTTTATTTTATACTTAAAATTTATTATAAACGTAAAAATTATATTTTTTATGTTATATTTTATGTACAGTGCGAGAAGAGTCTGTTATCTTTTCAACGAAAAAAAAAAAATTAATCATCAAATAAAATTTTTGTTTTTATTTATTAAGGACAAGATTTTCATTTATAAATTTCCAGTCAGTCATAGAGGCGTAAATTTTAAATTTAAAACTTAATTTTAAAAACTTAATGCTAATGGTTTTATGACAAATAAAAACTTTTAAACTGTCAATGAAATTGGTGGTATTTGTACATATATTGCATTAAAAGATGAAGATGGCAATATAAAATAGAACTAGTATGGCTATATTTTTCTCTTGCAATGCCTACCATCTTTTTTGTATAAACTAGTCACAACAAATTAGGAAGCACTTCTCTAGTTCAAAATTTGTTTGTTTTTTATTTTTCTCTAAAATTAGGTTTTTTATTTTTTTGTTATTTTGGGTGTATTTATCTAGAATTTCATCAAATTTTATGTAAATATCTAGTTTTGTTAAAATGTTATGTTATATTAGAGACCCTGCTTGTTGAAATCTTTTTAGGCTATTAAACTGTGTAAATAAAATATTTGTATTTACCTGAACTCTGCTAGCACCCTCAGGCCAAATCAACCATCGTTTTTTCCTGCTATGCACTTTATTTTGATTGCTCAATATAATTAAAGTGCATAAAAATAGACCAATTAAGAAAATGTGCACTAGAGTACCTACACGCATTTTAAAGCCTATATATAAGTATAATATTTATTAAATAAATTTTGTTGACTAATTGGTTTTAGGTTACTATTTATGAATCTGTGTTGGGTCTAATTGATACCGTTATGGGAGTATTGAAGTTAATTTTTAAAATAAATAGACTACGTAATGTTCTATATTCGCCTTGGTTGTATCTTTTAGAGAAAATTAAAAAGTATTTTAGGAATTGTTTACATTTTTATTTTAATAAGAAAAGATTCGACTTGTGTCTAAAAACTATCAAGCGATTTTATCCTCACTTTTTCTTAATCTCCTTTCAAACGGTTTTAACCTCACTTTTTCCTAATTTTAACTTAAGCCCGTATATTATAGTTTATTATATTACAATAAATGTTAGTAGCATATTACGCGCGAGCCGGGAGGTTTTAGTTCCACCCTTACCTTCTACGAAGTCCGAAGCCAACTGGATGACTTGTGCGGGTTAGGGGTAGGGATGAACCTCAGGCTTAAAGTCCCCACCGAAGGGGCAGTAAGCATTAATTTTAACCTTTTTTATTCACAAACAACTATTTGTTGAATTTTTTGATTGGACACTGCACTGAAAGAAATATATGTTTGTTTTAGCAATGTATGTGGACTACCACATAAAATATATTTACCTTAACCATTTTTATATTTAGTTTTAACATAATATGGTTAAGGCAAATATAAAAATGGTTAAGGTAAATATATTTTATGTTTCATATATGGACTACCACATACATTGCTAAAACAAACATATATTTCTTTCAGTGTGACAATTCTGACAAATATTATATAACGTTAGTAACAAACAAAAATTCCCCAGCACAACTGTAATATAATATATATAATTATGCACTTGTGCATAATATGTCAGTACACATAATTTTAAAGGAAATGCTATTTGTGATCCATTGATGTTAAAAAAATTAAAATCCAATATCGAATTCATAAATAAAACAAAGAATTTTAATATATATACACTCACAGGCAAAATAATCGATCCACACAAATTTTCGATGAATTTCAATCGCAAATAACTTTTTTATTTTGATTTAAACAAATATTAAAGAATATTGTACATACATTTATGGAGAATCGCTCACATTTTAAAAATTACTAAAAAATACACGTACGTTTATAATATACAGGTTTAAACAAAAATATGTTTTTACCTTAAGTTTAAGACACTCTATAGAGTGGCAAAACCGTATATTGTTCTAAATTACGTTTTAATTATCAAGTCACATCTATTTTTAACAGTTTTGTTTTTAGTTGACCTAGATATATTTATTTTTGTGGAAAATATGTTTTTTTTTTAAACATTGCAATTTCCAATATTTTTTCTGTATGAAGAACTAAGGTTGCTATGGTCCATCCATATCCTATGGAGGATGACAGTGACAGTTTTGTTGAATCATCCCATACTTGGACATGTCATATACAGCTTTCAAAAGCTATACAAATTGTTTTTTGTAAATTAATGTGTTAATTTTGAGGTGTCTTCTTACTTTTAAAAATGTCTCTGACTGATGTTGCCCTTTGTACTTTACTTCTTGTGGCGTTTAAAACACTTGCCAAGTAATAGTGTGACCGTCCATCCTGGATTACATTAATGGCTCTGGCAACATCAGTCGGAGACATATCCATTTTTTAGTAAGAAGACACCTTAAAATTTAAAAATTATTTGCAAAAAACAATTTGATAGCTTTTGAAAGCTGTGTATGACATGTCAAAGTATGGGATGATTCAACAAAACTGTTACTTTCATTCTCCATAGCCTATGGATGGATCATAGCAACCTTAGTTCTTCATACAGAAAAATATTGGAAATTGCAATATTTTTTAAAAAAATCCATATTTTCCACAAAAATAAATATATCGAGGTAAACCAAAAACAAAACTGTTAAGCATAGATGTTACTTGATAAATAAAACTTAATTTAGAACAATATACGGTTTTGCCACTCTACAGAGTGTCTTAAACTTATGGTAAAAAAATATTTTTGGTTAAACCTGCATATTATAAACCTTCGTCTATTTTTTAATAATTTTTTAAAATGTGAGCAATTGTCCATTAATTTATCTACAATATTCTTTAATATTCGTTAAAATCCGACACCAAATAAAAAGTTATTTTCGATTGAAATTCCTCGAAAATTTGTGTGGATCGATTATTTTGCCTGTGAGTGTAATAGGGTGATTTAAAAAAACTTGTTTTGTTTTTTTTCTCGGAACCACGCTCAAAAGTTATACAAAAAATTATTTTTGTTTCTTCTGATTTTTGTAACGAACGATGGGCCGTGCTGTAAAGTTCTTAACATATTGTTGTAGAGAATTGAACGATCTACAAAGAAGGTTTATTATGAGATTTTGATAAATTTGATCCTTCTAAAGTAATTTAAGGTCAAAGTTCAAATTATATGAATGTTTTTGGGTTTTTTTAAACTTTTTTGGCGAGTCTACCCGACTAATTTAAAATTTGGAATATTTTTGTAGAGAATTGATCTACAATTTTTTTGGGGTCATTTCAAAAACAATCTACACAACACCACAAAATTCAAGAACTCAAACGAATAGTTCAAGAATGTAGATAAGATAACAAGATAACTTCTGAAACGTTTCAAAAAGTTATATTTTTTATGGAATTCTTTGTTTTATTTATATCACACTTTTTTTGGCTCTAACTTGATCGGATTTAAACGGAGCAGAAATTGAATTTTTTTTAAAATGATGTATCGCAAGTTAAAGACCATTTAAATTTTTTTAATAAGGTAGCTGGTGGTGAGAGGGTGTAAAATAAAATTTGTTTAACATTGGGTTTGTACTTCCCTGTTGATATACAAATCGGCTTTAGGAGTAGATAAAAATGTTTTATAAAATATGAAGAAAAGAAACAAAGTTTTATACTTTTTAAAATATATTTTGCCAGACAGAATGCGTACAACTGGGAAATTGGTCAGTACAGTTTTTACTACTTGAGGCGGTTTTATCATAAATGTCCTCATCAGGGTGATCCAGTCTTGGTTTGGTTCTAAAATTTAACAGTATTATTATTTGTTAAGCCTTATGTAATTTATTATAAACTCACTTAAAAACGACTTTAATAATTTCTTGCATAAACGATCCTTTTGCTTCTGAGGCACCTCCCACCTCACAAATTGCTTTAAGTAGGCATGCCTTACCATCCTTACCCAATCTAAAATAATTTGATTACATTTAATAATTAATTAATTAATTATGCTTTGCTATTTGTTTACGCAGCAACGGAGCAATGGATCGACGTGATTTGCATAGAGATAGTTTATGGACAGGAGAGTGACAAAGGCTACTTTTTATCCCGAAAAAATGCACGGTTCCTGTAGAATAATTATAGCATTACATCCACGAGAAATCTGGGTTGCCTACCCTGATAGCAAAATTTGATTCTAAGAAACTTCTAAGAAGATACGACTCGGAATAATGGAATATTCTTAGAACCTTCCCTTATTGCTAAGAATGTTCTTAGGGACTTTTAAAACATTAAATATATAACCTTTTAATGATGCAAGTAGATTCTTAGAAGCTTCTTAAAACCTTCCTAAAAAGCAATCTAAGAACATTTTAAGAATACGTTTTTGGAATGTTCTTAGAAGGTTTCTTATGGAGCTTCTAGGAAGCTTTTGAGAATATTTCCAAATATGTCAGATACCCACATCATATTAGGTTGTATTCTACATTCGTAAAATTCTTCAGGAGACGACAAATACGCCTCACTGTCATAATTTGACAGTGAAATGTATTTGTCGTCCCCTTAAAAAATTTTGTGACAAATTAATATATATTTGTTTAAAAATATTAAATAAACAATTTGACCTCTAAACCATAAGTTGTATGACATTATTACATAAAAAGTAAAATTGGAAAATTTTGTGGGATAAGTCAGATTAGATTGAAGTTGAAGATAGTTAGGATTATTATACATAAAAATGTTAATTCAGAAATAAAAAATCGGTATACAAATTAATAAATATTATTTTTAACATTAAATAAAATATAAAAAAACAAAATATTTATTTAAAAAATACCTAATTCTTCATAAAAGAAAAAACCAAAAAGTTCTTCATAAAAAAAACATTTTTCATTGTATTTAAGTTGGATAGAAGATTTTATGTAAAAGCCGGATAATTTAGATGCCTATAGTAAAAGTATTTTTTTTATCTAATATTGTTTTAATTTGATAAATAACTATAAAAAATATTTTGGGTTGTTTTTTACTTAGTATTTAATACTAATTACTTTCTCAACATTCTAAGCATATGTTTAGAGTGGATTAATTTTTACCACTAAACTTTGCACCTTCTAAGAACCTGCCTAGAGGCCAGTGAGAATATTCTTGGGATTATGCTATATTTCTTTTAAGCATGTTCTTTAGAAGAAATATAGGATGATCCTAAGAATATTCTCACTGGAAGGTTTAAAAAACATTCTTAGAACATGCCTAGAAGAAATATAGCATGATCCTAAGAATATTCTCACTGGAAGGTTTCAAAAACATTCTTAGAACATGACTAGAAGTAATATAGCATGATCCTAAGAATATTCTCACTGGAAGGTTTAAAAAACATTCTTAGAATAAACTGTGCTATCAGGGTACATTCCTTAGAACCACAGGAGCGAAGTATACAGCTAGTTCATACATACTTTAACCAAGTTCAATAATACAAAAAAGGCAACATTTTTTAAAACAGGCATGTCAAAGTCGAAAAAGACAAAAACGAATAAAATTTTTTCATAAATCCTGACCAAGCATAGAAAATTGTGATTACTTTTAAATTTGATACAAGAAAAACAGGATGTTATTCATGTAGGTACTCACGCGGTGAAAAAGTTTTCAACTTTGGCATAAAGTTCCCTTCTCGTTCGCTTATAAACTCTGTGGTATACCGGATCAACATAACTTGAGACTGCTTCAAAGTTGTCTCTGAACTGCTTTATTGGCTTTCGGTTTTCGTATCCATAACGATTGCCGCTGAAAAAGGAATTTTAATATCAACTTTCATAGCTCTTGTTACACTGCGGCCATTCCACGCGTAACGGATGGGAAAGCAAGTTTTTATTTACAAAATAACATTGCTCTATTATATTACTAATGTCAAATTTTTATAAATAGATCTAAACAAAAGCTGTTTAACAAGGTTTTTATTTGTCACAATTAGGTATCGTGGTTGTATGTTTAATTCATTAAAAATTATTTTTTTTATTCAAAAACACTACTAGTACTGTTTTTGAATAAAAAAAAATAATTTTTAAGGAATTAAACATACAACCACGATACCTACTTTTGCCAAATAAAAACCTTAAACAGCTCCTATCCGTTACGCGTGGAATGGCCGACTGTTTAAAATATCTGTAGTGTAAAGAGTAATCTTAAAATGGTGTCAAAATCCAACACCATGAATTATGGCAAACACCAAAACGGTGTTTATCTAAAACTATTTGAGAAGTGCACCTACACAGAAAAAAAGGAATAGTTCATTTAAATATATTAATTTAGTTGACCCATAAGTATTTATTTATATTAACGGTAAGAAAGTTAATATAAACAAAGATTAGTTTGACGGAACTAAACCAGATAGTTATTTTATTTTTTTTAAATTGGTTAAATTAACCAAGAAAACTTTAGTGAGACCAACCCGCGGTATGGTTCAGTATACTAAATATGTTGTTTGTAAAATAAGAGTTACTTCAACCTAAAGCACTCTGTTAAAATGATTAAAACAATTTGCCGTGCATTCCTGGTTGCATAATGTGTACCGATCGCGGCAAAGGCGGTGTGTATCACATGATGTTCTTAAATCTCGCCTATGTTGACTTACATGAAGAGTATATAAGCTCAGGTAGTCCTTTGCTTTGGTGTGACGCTACAAGTTGTTCGATAGTATCGATACTAAAGAGACCTTAAATAGGTGGAAACAGCTGTCAATACAAGAAGTATTTTAAGTTGGTGGAACGCACTAAAAACATTATCTCTACTCTCTTAAAATGAATTAGTCAAAAATAACTAATTATAAGTCATATTTGACTAATTGTCATAGCGAAAAAGCAGTCACTAATAATTAGTCAAATTCCACTGAATGAAATAGTTAAATTAGTAAATTTAAATTTAAAAAAAGTTTTGACCCAGCCTGGGATTGAACTCACGTCTGTCACTTGAGAAGCTTGTCAACCTAACCTCATAACCAGTCGGCTGTCAGCCGCTCTTATAAAAATAAGTTTTATTTGTCAATAAATATTGTTCATAATATTTTAAAGTTTAATATATTATTTGTGTTACTGTTTTGAGCTAAACTTTTTGCATCTTTATTTGTTTTATGGGTCATTTAACCATGGAGAGGTATATGCATTTAATTCAAATAATACTTTGTTGTTGGCCGTAAACGATTAAAGAAATTAGTTACTTTTAACTGTCAGAAATAGTCAAATATGGCGACTAATCTTAAATTAGTCAAACTTTAACTATTTACGTAGTAAAAAATAACTATTTAAAAGTGAAAACGACTATTTTATTAGTAAAAAATGCTGGTACTAATAAATAGTAAAATTTTGACTATTTCATTTTAAGAGAGTAGCGAGTTGAAGGTTCAATTTTCTGGAATAATACCACTGGTAATATACTAGTAATGCGTCAAGGAACTTCCTGTTTTTTTTTTCCTTTTTTTTCTGTGTAAGTTAATATAATTTGACCAAAAACACATAATATTTAACACTGAAAAGGAGTTCAATTTACACCAGGTAAAATTTATTTTAATACCTACTGTGTTAAATTTAAATTTACACTATTTTAGTATTTGAATTTACACCGGACCAACGAATCATATTTAACACAATTTTGGTTTGTATCGATATAGACCATGTATGGTGTTACTTTGGTGTTAAAATGGTCATGAAATTTTGAACAATGCATCTTTAGGCTGTTTTAGAATAAACACGGTGGTCTAGTGGTTAGTGCTGCTGACTACAAGCCGGAGGTCGTGGGTTCGAATCCCACCAGAAGTATGGCTGTTTATTTGTGTTTTTCCTATTGTGTCCTTCGGAGGGGACTTTAAGCCCGCGGTCCGTTCCTACCCCTAACCCGCACAAGCCTTTCAGTTGGCTTATGGGACTTCTTAAGAAGTAAGGGTGGAACTAAAAGAGCACTTTTGTATATAAGATTTTTCACCACTCACTCACTCCATGTCTCCAAAATCTACAACCTCGCTTCTCTATTAATGAATAATAGAACTAAAGAGACGTTAAATAGGTGGAAACAGCTATCAATACTTGAAGTATTTTAAGTTGGTGGAACGTACTAAAAACAATTCAATTTTCTGGAAAAATACCACTGGTAATATACTTGTAATGCGTCAAGGAACTTCCTGTTTCCTTTTTTTTTTCTTTTTTTCTGGGTAGTATGATTTAATTTGACCAAAAACACATAATATTTAACACTGAAAAGGAGTTCAATTTACACCAGGTAAAATTTATTTAATTTAAATTTACACTATTTTAGTATTTGAATTTACACTGGACCAACGAACCATATTTAACACCATTTTTGTTTGTATCGATATAGACCATGTATGGTGTTAATTTGGTGTTAAAATGGTCATGAACTTTTGAAAATTGTACCTTCAAAATACAGGATGATTAAAGCTCTTCTTTTATTGTCATTCAAATCTTAAAATGCAATACCTTCAATATTATATCATCGAAATTTAATCGTTTATGTTGTAAATGTCAAAAATTAAGTTTTTTATAACTTAAAAGCCAGACCACCCTTATTATAGTATATCAAATACAAAATCGTTTTTACCTATTTGCAGTCTTATAAGATTGCTTTTTGCTGTTTTCAATAGTGTTGTAGCTCTGCTTTTGACTGTATCCTTTATTAATAGTATTGTAAATAGTCTGCTTGAACAACGAATTCAGTGTACTGTAACCGTTATTAAACGAAGGGGTGATTAATGACGTTGGCTTTTCTTTCTTAATACTCCACCCACCGGACGAATGGTCTCCATCTTTGTCAATCCTGTGCAGAACTTCGGCAGGTTTTCTGAAGGGGGCCATGGGATCGTGGGGTAGTTCCCAGGCAAGCGCGGCAGTGGCTCCCAAAGTAAATATTTGGCCCATTCCCACCGACGGTATTGTTAGACAGTACACTAAAATATCATAAGGGACGTTAGCCCGGACTTTACAATGACGATTTAATATAACATTTTTTAAATTTTATACTTAAATAATAAAAATGACATTTAAGTCAATCCATATGAAAACGACGAAACTCGTTGCTTGAAATTCTTGGCATGCCAAGCAGCATTTTTGGTTCCAAAAACCATTGCCAAAGTGGTGATAACTTTAAATTAGTTAAGTATACTAAACAGCTACTTTAATTTTTACCTAAAAGTAATTCTAACTTTAAAATAGTAATATTTTGTAATAGAAACCTTTTTGTAATAGAAATTTTTCCTTAAATGGTTACTATAAAGCAATAAACATTTAAGTAAAACTTGGTTGCCCCCAAGACGACTTTGCAACTTTAAAAAAGGTGTTATAAGTAAAAAAAACTTTCAAGTAAATTTAATTTGTAGCAGTTACTTTCGGTTGCTACCGAAAGATTACATTATAATTACTTTTACTTTGTAGTCCCTTTGCAAGTTAAAATCTCGGAACTGGAACATGAGTTAAAAACTACAAAGTTAATAACTTAAAAGTTATTATTTTAGTATTTGGAACGTTTATGGTACTAACCAAAACAACCGTTAAGTGAAAAAAAACTTTAAAGTAGCGAAAACTACTTTAAAGGAAAATGCTTCTTATCGGTCATTTTTTACCACGTGGTAATGTAAATAATAAATTATTTTAATTGTTTGTAAATGGTTGTTTACTTTTTAATAAATAGTAATTTTGTTGCTAATAGACGGTATTAATAATCAAATAAAAAAATTAATAATAAATTTTAAGATATTTTTATTTATAAACATTATTAAATAAAAAATTTGTTTATACTTAAGTATTGATCAAGCGCATTTATTTTACAAAAACTAAATTCATAAGTTCAACAGTAAAATTTAAAGGGTTTATAAATTTACCTGCCTAATTAAACATTATATTGTTATTCTGGAAGTTATAAACTACCAGTACATATTTAATAAACGACGACATTAAAAAGACAAGTCCGTAGTGGTTCCATTTAAAAAAAGGGGGATAGTATAATCTAATATAAGTTTGACAAAGACAGTTAATATAGAAGTAAATACAAATAAATAAAAGTAATTATAACGCTCTAGCAACGATATTGGAACGTTCTAGTAACGCAGCAGCTACGTTCCAAATAGTAGCAGGGTTTATAGCTAGTGAGATATTTGTTACCTTTTTGGAACTCAATAATTGTTCCCCACTTTAGTCGTAACTTAGTAATAAAAGAGTAATATAAAGAGACCGGCGACTGTCGCAAAACACTTTTAAGTTTCTTCAATAGTCCCATATACGTAACAAATACTTAAATTGTTGCTTGGGATTCGACATCCAAACAAAAAAATTGCTTGAAATTTTAAAATTCTAGAAAATCTCATTATTTAGGCCATTATATAAAGATGTTGACTTCCAAATAGAATTATGAAATTTACAGGATAATTAGCCCCTACCTTAATGTTCAAATGTCTGGTAGTTTGGTTTTGGTATTTTCATTTTTGAAGGTTATACAATAGCTTTAAATGGAGAAAAATATTGAAATAATAAAAAGTCGCATTATTTCATCCATTATATAAGTATGTTGACTTTAATATAGAAATATTACATTAACAGGATGTTTAGTCCTTACCTTGAAAATGAAATGCCTGTTTGACTTGTTTTGATATTTTCATCCATTTTGCTTATACATAGTTACATACACATATACATAAAATTAGTAAAATACACGTTTTATTTAGCACAGTGTTATTATTTAGAAATATTGATTGAGTGAATTTATATTTTTTTTATAAAAACTATATTTTGGCTTTAAAATGACATCTTAAAATTTAAAATATCTTTAAAAGAAAAAAAATTACAGCTTAAATTATTAAAGCATAAAAATGACGTTTTTAAAAAGTGTTAATTCGAATAGGCCGGATTTGACACATGCGAAAAATTAAATAAGGGTGGATTTTGTCCTTTGGGACCCTAATGAATATTTCTATAAAATTTGAGCAAAATTCAAGATGGTCGAGCAACGAGTTTCGGCGTTTTCATATGGATTGACTCATTTGCCTAGCTACCCTTGTAAATTGATTTGATTTACTATTGTAACATAAAAATAGAATAAATAAATAGAAAAGTTTTATTACAGACATCAAAATCAAATATATACTGACCTAGTTGTAGAGAACTTCCTTCGGGAAAAACAAGATAGCGTTTTCTTCTCGACAAAGTTTTTTTACTGTCGTTTTTATTGTCCGTTTTCATGGCTATGTCGGATTGTAAACTTTCTAATGACGTTTTTATTAATAGGGACACAATAAATAAGTTCAAAATTGATTTGAACATTTTTCTGAACTGATTTAAAAAAATATACGATAATAAATAATGGCTATTGTGTGAAATTGCTCTGCTAGAAAATTTACTGTTAGTTTTACAATTATTAGGTGATAATGTGTTAAACAATTAACACAGGAAACTCAAAGCAAGGCATATATTATGCCAATGGAATTCAATACCGTTAATTAAACAGCAATCATGTTTTATATAGGACATGATTTATACTCAATTATGAATGATACTAATTAATTCTATTAACATAGATCCACAAACGCCTCGTTTGAGATACAGGGTGTCAAAAATGATTTTTTTTTGTTTACTCTAACCTACAAAAATTACTCAGTCATCAAAATTGTATCTTTGGTTGTGTACTTTTACTACAGTTCTACACAATAAAAAGTAAAAAAATATATCAGGCGAGTTTGCGACTATTTGTTACTGCTTGAGGCGAGAGAATTGGAGCTTTTCCAAAATTTTTTAAAAAAGATGTTTTCAAGATTTATTAAAGAAGCACCAGATGAAATTTACCTTTAAATAAAAGTTGCCAAAATTTTTGGGATGGCTGGTGCTTGTAGGCAAGAAGAGCTCTCAAAGATAATGATTAATGATATAGAAGATAAATAAAATTTGGTATCGTAAAAATTACACATCAAGAATCTTTGTGATATCTGATGAAATCAATAATGGTCATTACTTAAAACTGTTTAGAAAATATTCAAATACCAACCAAATACCCCAAATAAGCGGTTTTTTTGTCAATTATAAAAGAAGACTACCCAATGTGTAGGAATTAATACAATTGGTAAAATGCCTGCACAAATAGTTGCATATCTAAAACTTAAAAATCCTGAGGAGTACACAGGTCACAGTTTTCGTAGATCCTCCGCCAAAATATTAGCCGATTCTGGGGAAGGAATTTCCAATGTGCGCCACATGCGCAAAGTAATTTTTCCGCACTGCTACTTGAAGTAGCGCACAGTGGTCTGAGAGATATATTTACGCGGCAAAAATTATTCTTTAAATATTTTTCTCAAGACGTGTGTTTTTTATGCTTTTAAGGGCGCTAAATTTACTTCTTATATAAATTTTTTTCAAAAATATTTGGTATTGAGAGGGATAAGTCTAGCCAAATGATATAAAATGATTTTTTTTAATATTTGTGTATTTTTTGTTTTTTTTATGTTTTATTTTTAATAATTTATTTATTAAATAAATAAATGTTTATAGGTCGTACCAGGGGGCGATCGCCAATGTTGGCGATTGCAACATGGCGCAAGCATAATTTTTTATCATGAATAACCGAGTTCAAAGTATCAAAAATATATTATTATATCAACATTTTACATTTCACCATATTTCTTTTTAACAACCCTTTAGCCAATATCGTTGACAATAGGAAAATTTAATATTTTTTTATGCGTTAAATACTCTTGCTTGTTTTAAAAATGAGATTCCTATAGAACAATAATTATTGTACTACCCTCTTAATGCACTTTGCAGTTTTTTTATTTTCTGAGCACCCTGGACATTTAATTAAAAATGTTTCTTAGGAATCTCATTTTTAAATACAAGCAGAAGTTTTTATGAAGAATGATTTTATGCGATTCTGTTACGAATATCTTACCACATTTCTCTCTTATTTTGATATATAATTTTTTTTTTAATTTTTGAGCACCCTGTATATATAATTCATCTATTTATAAAAGTCTTAATTTTTAACCATCAAATATTTTCAAACAGAATTAATTTTTCCACAAAACGCACTTCTAGTTTTTTGGGTTTTTTTAGTTTCTGAGCTCCCTGTACATTTAATTTAAAATGTTTGTGTAGGAATCTTATTTTTGAAACAAGCAAGAGTTTTTAAATAAAATGTTTTTTTTCGTATCATACCTAATAAAAAAGTTTTTTTCTATTGTCATTACCATCCGTGGGCACACTGTATAATATAAAAGGTATATTAAAAAATAATATTATGTTATAGGAGTAAAGAAAATTGTATTACCATTCTTAAATGCCATAATTATTGTCAAATTTAAAAAATGACCAGGTTAGCGGTAATTTGTCGGCCATTTTTCATTTTTGCATAACTCTCTTATAGGCGCATAAAGGCAGATGAATTTTTATAAAGTTGGAGCTGAAGGTTCATATTTTCGAATGCACTATGTGGTTCTGGGCAAGAAATTATAAATTTTTACTTATATTCCATTTATTATTTGTAATTACAAAACTTGAGAATTTGTAGGTTAAAAAACGCTATATTTTTGGCAAAAAATCCAAAAAAGACATGTATATGTATATGTATTTGTACTCAACTTTATCCCTACTATAAATTTTTGACACTAATTTTCACTACTATATTTACTATATTTACACCTTTTTTACACAAAAAGACAAGATTCCAAAAGTAAGAGTATTTTTGACAATCTTTTCATGTATTTGTTATAACGCAACGCATACGCAGTAAATTCTACTTCGCAGTTTAAAATCTTAGGTAATAATCTGTCACAAACAATAAAGAGGCATCAAAATGCGTTAATAAAGTATTTTAAAAATTGTATTTTTGCCGCGTAAATTTGCTTTTCAGACCACTGTGTAGCGTGCGGAAAAATGTAACCTTGCGCACTTGTTAGGTAAATAACTATTAAAGTTTTAAAAAACGAATTTATGTTTTTTGATTTTTAAACATATCTTTACTTTGTGGTTTTAGGTACCTGAATTTGACATATGAGCTTTGACCAAAAAAATTTAGAAATAAGTAATGCCCTTTAGATTAAGAAGTTACATACTGGTAATCGTTAATTTATAACTGAAAATTTGCCAATATTCACCAATTAAAAAACTTGTTAACAAAACTATTTACAATTTCAATTGTAAATAGTTTGTCTAGTTAGCGAGTAATCTCATTTAAAGACCTATTGGGGGCAACTAATAAAATCTTATGTTGGTGTTGAAAGACTCGAGAGAGGATGAAATTTTTTGTTTTGTGTGTGTTTTTTCTCTTGCTGGTGGAGGGGCAGAAAACTGACGAGGTTATTTTATCCCGTCGTAAAAGATACGTCGCTTTTCCAGACGGCAGCAGTATGATTGTAAGTTTTTACTACAGTTTTATCGATTTCCTTTTGATCAGAGATACATTATTTATTATTTTTCCGAGAGGGAAAAAATCAGAAGTAGTTTACCAAGGGGATAACAAGTTTAATACCATCATAGAAAATGATATAGTGGGTTAATATCACGGTAATATGAGCTGGTACTTAACATGGGTTTTTACAACACATTTAATCTTTTTGTTTGTTTTGTCTGCAGTTCGCTTTTTGTAACACGGCTGCAGTGATAACGCCTTTTCAAATATTTACCGAAGGAGTAAATTGGGGCATATCTTACGACCTTCCCAACGGAACGACTCTGCTGGAAACGAAGAAATATCTCAAGGGACGCAGGCAGAGGCGCGAACTCTACAACAGCATCGAAACGGTTATCGATTCGTATGGCAATTGTTTTTGTATTAAAATTTCAAAACCAATAAAGTATAATTTTTTAGAATGGGGTTCGATGGTAAAGCGTGTATTTTCAAAACGCTTTGTGAAGCCCCCAGAGTTTTGTCAAAGAGTGATGCGTCGCTTGCAGAGAATTTACTTCATGTTTTATTTAAGTAAGTTTCGATATTTTATTATTCGACATAAGCCTTAAATGTAATAAATTATAATAAGTGAGTGGCGGCTCGTGGGTGTATAGGAGGGTGAGGTTACATGAGGTTAATTTTGTTTATAGATACACTTACCGACAAAAAAACCGGCACCTAAATTTTTTTGACAATTTTGATATGTCATAACTTTTTTATTTTTGATTTTATTGCAATGATTTTTTCGCTGGACTATAGATCAATTCATTTAGATAGCGCTGCAATCTGATGAAATTTTGGGTTAAAGGTTTATATACCAGGGTTAATAAAAATGTTGTTTTTATCAGTAAGTTTAAAACACCCTGTGAAAAAAACATGCAAATCAACCTTTTTCCGAGTTTTTTTATTTTTTTACATCATCTGTCCATCTCGTTTCTTTTACGAGCTACGCATATTTAAATGAAACAACGTCACATTTAAAAATATTTTTACTAAAGCTGTATTAAAAGTTGTTTAGAGCACAAACTGAAAGTTAATAACGGGTGTGTCCACCTCTAGCCGCAATGCATTCTTCGTGGCATCGAATCAATTAGATTGATCATTTTTTCTTGTGGAATAGCTTCGTATTCTTCATTTAATGCTAACCTGAGCTCTGCTAATATTGTAGGCTTGATGAGACGGTAACGAACGCGTCTTTTTAATTCATCCCACAAATGATCAATTGGGTTGAGATCTGGGCTGCATGGTGGCCATTCCAACCTCCGAATTCCAACTCAAACAAAAAAACAAAAAACTCGGAACACATCTAGATTTATCGTAAAACAGTTTAGAAAAAGGTTGATTTGCATTTTTTTTCCACAGGGTAAAAACAACATTTTTATTAACACTGGTATATAAACCTTTCAGCATCCAAAATTTCATCAGGATAAACTGCAGCGCAATCTAAATGAATTGATCTATAGTCCAGCAAAAAAATCATTGCAATAAAATCAAAAATAAAAAAGTTATGACATGTCAAAATTGTCAAAAAAATTTAGGTGCCGGTTTTTTTTGTCGGTGAGTGTATAAATACGACTAAATTAATATAAGTAAAATACAAAAAAGTTATTTTTTTATAATTACAGGACCCTATTAAAAATGCCATATAGAAACACAAAATAAAAATCTATATGGTTCTATCTGGTTCAATATGGGAATTTGAAAAAGGCATTGCCCTATTGAACCAGATAGAATTCCATACATGGAAAACCATATAGTAGAAGAGTAATTTCTATATGGATTGCCATATAGGTTCAGATTGAACCATATTGGAGCTCTATCTGACCCAATATGTTTGGGTATGCAAAAATTATTACCATATAGATCCATATTTAACCATATATGGTTTAATATGCAATTTTCGTTAAAATATATATACATTTTAAAATGGAATTCCATATTCAACCATATAGGGAAACCTATATGGAAAGACACATAAAACAGAAACCAGATAAATCCATATAAAAATCCCTAAGTTGTACATTTTAAAATGAAATTCCATATTAAACCATATAGATTCCAAAGTGTAAACCAGGTCGTTTCATATAGGACATATAGAACCATATAAATCCATATTCGTTTCCTTATCTGGATTAATATGGGTTCTTTACGGCATTTTTAATAGGGGAAACAAAATGTCAAAAAGTTAGAAAAGAAATTAGTAGCATATTTAATTAAAATTAAAATGAATGCAGTTAAAAGACTGATAGAGGCTTTTTATGATTTGACAAGTGATAACACAGTACAACACGATTTTCCTCCCATGAACAATTTTAACAGATTTTAAAAATAAAGGTTAAAAAAAGGTACCTACCCGTGTCTCACCGTTTCACAAAATTACGTCATTTAAATTTTTTACACAGCCATTCTTATTATTTTAACCTAAACCGATTTTTAATTCTCTATTTTGTTATAAATCATTTTTCTTCTTCAAATATTGTATGTTTTTACATAATACAAAAATTATACTTAAAGAAAATAACAATTTTATTTTTTTTTTAATAAAAAAATATTTCTGGCGTTAATTTTTGATTTTTTTTTAATAAAACCAGATTTGTATTTATCTTATATTAAATATATATTGGAAACAAATAATGATAATATTTTTTTAAATATTTTGAAGAAAATGCCACTCCTGGTTTGACCGGAAGTGACATAAACTTTGTTATTTTAAATAGAACACCCCTTAGTTAATTCAATAAATTTTTACATTATATTGATGAAGGAAATAATTAATTTTTGATGTTTTGCATTTATCGTTTAATGTTGACTAGTTTATTGTTACAATGTACTTAGTTATTAATCTATGATGAAAAATCATTGTAATAATCACCAATAGATAATATTAATGTTCAAAAAATTGACGACAGCAGTTTATTAATTTTACCTACAGTTTTTCTTTCTGTGTAATGAGTTGATAGATTTAATGAAGTATACCAATCTTTACCCAAACAGATTTCCGCAAGAACCTATTTCCGACGAGGAGCCCGAAGAGCATACGGCCTACCGTTGGGCGTACGGCCTCGGTCGATCGAAAGCAGACGTGCAACAGGACTGTTCGAACATGTTTCCGACATGTTCAATCTCGCTGATTGATCTTGCACTAGGCTATTACCACCAACAATCTCCGAATTAATAATAAACGATGTCTGATATAACGATGATTGCCTTTTAATCGATTACCTGTTCGCTTATAAATATCTTTCCAGCCGATCTGAAGGGTGCTTGAGATGGGGAGCGGCAATTTAAACACACGAAAGCTTTTATTAAGGGTTTATTGTAACAGTCGGGAAAATATCGTGAGAATGTTGTTTTGGCATTCAGGAAATACGGCGTTGCAATCTTCCACCTCCTTGCCTAATTTCTCGGCTGCATGGTAATCCATATGCTGATGGTTTATGATTTCCTCAGTTGAAGATGGCCTTAAAATGATGGTATATTAGTTAATTTGATCAAAATTTGTGATGGCATTTTTATTTATCTCATAAATACATGGTGTTTGGTACATAGCACCATAGTAACAAAGTCTTGTTTTTTTGGAATGGTTTCTGCACTGTAAAAATCAGATTTGTTAACATGAGTTTGTAGTTTATTTTGTAAAATTTTAAGATAAAGATGCCACCACTGGTTTTTAAACTGAAATTAGGGGATACAGTGAAGTGAGTTAAAGTTACGAAATACATCGGTAGGTGACACCTACTAGGTGTTAAAAATTTCTATTGTAATTTTACTAAACTTGTTTAGGAAGTTTTTACGCACCAAAATATAGTTATAATAAAACTCAGTTTTGTAAATTCACTACACGATTCATTACAACTTAATTTGGGAAAATTGCAAAACGTTTGTTGAAATTTTGCTAAAAATAATACTAAATATGTTTAGTAATTTTAAAATGGTGCATTGTAATTATACTATACAATTCCTTTCAACTCAGTTTAATAAAATTACAAAATATATTTTTCAATTTTACTGAGCTGAAGAAAATTCGTTTCGCAATATTGTTATTTTGTACAACAAATTACACTAAAAATATTTAGTAATTTACGAATAATGGTTTGTAATTATACTACGAAAATTAAACCCTGCAATTTCTTGACCCATTACTGTAAAGATTAAAAAAAAAATTGAACCTTCACCTCGCCAGAGTTTTTGTTTTAAGTGCGTTCCACCAACTTCAAATACCGACAGACAGCTAGATAGATAGACCTATTTTGGGTCTTATCAATGTCGGGCAATTTGGTGTGTTCCAATACACCAAATTGCCCGACATTGATAAGACCCAAAATAGACACCTGAGCTTATATACTTTCCACCTAAGTCAACCGAGGCGAGATGTAAGAACATTACGTGATTGCCGCAATCGGTACATACGAGCCCTAACCACATAATGTTCGGACACTTCATAATTTATACAGAAATTTTTTTCGTTAATACTATCTCAAAATTATTAGAAGTTATGAAAAATTCAGCTTATTTTGGCATATACCCCTCGAAGCGATTTTTATTTTTAAAAAGTTTACCTTTTATTTTTAGCTTTTAAAAAAAGGCTAACTTTTTAACTTTTTTTTGTATGAGTAAAAAAAGTTATAAATGGACCCATTAAAAAGAGCATAAAATATTATACAAACCCTGAAAATTTGGTAAAAAATAAATAAGTTATAAAAAAGTATAAGTAATTTAAAAATGCTATTTTTAAATAGTTTTTGCAATTTTCTTAGGAAACGGGAGATTTTGCAGATATATATATCGCTATAACTTTCTTATTATTTATACAATTTTTACCAAATTTTCAGGGTTTGTATAATATTTTATGTTCTTTTTAATGGGCCCATTTATAACTTTTTTTACTCATGCAAAAAAAAGTTAAAAAGTTAGCCTTTTTTTAAAAGCTAAAAATAAAAGGTAAACTTTTTAAAAATAAAAATCGCTTCGAGGGGTATATGCCAAAATAAGCTGAATTTTTCATAACTTCTAATAATTTTGAGATAGTATTCACGAAAAAAATTTCTGTATAAATTATGAAGTGTCCGAACATTATGTGGTTAGGGCTCGTACTATGCATTTTACATAACATTATAGCAAATCAAATTACAAACAGCGCTTGTCAAACTGTAGTAAAATTACAATGCTTGAAGGATTTATACATATATATTGTAAATTACAATTTATCTTAGTAGATTTCCTAACATGTATTGAAATTATATTATAATTTTGTATTGGTATACACTGATTTGTAATTTTACTTATCCTTTGTTTTGTAAAACAATTGTAATTTTACAAAAAATATTAACAGTACATATGATTAAAATGATATACCTATAGTAAAAATGCAGAGGTTGTATAAAATAAATAGTGCTTTGTATATTTCCAAACACTTATTGTAATTCAAATAGCAAATTTTGGTTAGTAATTTTATTGATTATCTTAGTAAAGTTAAATTCCGAATATGTATAAAAATACAATACAGAATTGTAAAATTACTATAAGTATCTGACAAAAACAAAAACATTTTACAATAAATGCGTTAAAATTTAAACAACATTTTGTAATTTTACTATGCAACTGCTAAGTAAAAATGTAGTAATTTTACAAACATTTTTAACAGTGTTGTAGTAGTACTGATAATTATATTGTACCAAATTTCTTTATAATTTGATGATTTCAGAATGGTGTATTATTTAATTGTGGGTATGTTATTTTTGTGTTTATTTATGTAGGTATGTGTTAATTTTTGTGTTTGGAAAATTGATTAATAAAGTAACATTTCTTATCAACATTCTTTTCATTTAAGTTACCAATTTCCAACAAAAGCTTTTGTTACTGGGTCTACAAAAAGGTTTGTAAAAATAAGTCCTTTTTAAAAATTACAAGAATTATGGTTAAATTATTGATATGGGTGATTCTACAACTTGATGTCATTAGTCAATAGAGTAGGTATTTTAAAATTTTTTGTAAATATTTTAGTATATTACAAAATATTTGAGTGATTTTATTTTAAAATATATTCAATTTATCTTAAATTTTTCAATTTCACTACAAACATTAAATAATGTATTTTTCATATATTATCATAGATTCGAATAATAGCAATTTTTAAAAAATTGATAATCTTTGTTCTCACTTTTACTCGTCAGTTCTGTGTCCAATGTTAAAATTCAAAATTCCTACGAAATATTGAAATTTAAACGTCAAATCCTCGTTTTAACTCAAGTGTTGGTAAAAAATTACCTACAGAGCCCGCCCTTTACACGACAGTCATCTTGAAAACAATGCAAGCGGCGAAGTTGTGGTGAATGGACGTATAGTTCCAGTCAAAATTTCAGTACTGTGGTGAGTAGTTATTTTCTTACGTATATATATTTCATTGTAATTTATATAAGGCTATATGTAATTTGTTGATAAGTAGCATCCACTAATAAAAAATATCAGTAAAATAATTCCGAATTATAATCTAAAATTTGTATCCCATTCATCAGTACTGTGTCGTCAGTTCCATGTTCGATGTTTCGGTTATCTTTTTTTCGCAAACTTCAATTTAAATTCTGCTTGCGCAGAACTTGTTTATTTAATGTCATTATAAACCTATATAAATTTGTTGTGGATCCCATATCTAATAATTGAGATATCGGTATACCCTAAATCCACCCGCCGCCACTGATGTATGGTATTATTTGATTTTAAGATTTTTAATGTATAATATGCTCAAAATTGCAATAAATCTTATATTTTTCAATACATTTTGTATTTAATTAGTACCCTGGTATACTCACTTCTCTTGCATTCAAATTTAGAAAACACAGATATTTCAGAAACTGTTTGAAAAAGTGACTGGCCCGGTCTGGAACAGTATATTTATTATATTATCTATGTTGTCATAACAAAATACTATTTAATTTCCAAAAACTATATAAACAAAATGAGATCAAAAGTTGCCCAACTTTTGTAGAATTACCCATTTATGATTTTGTTACTAAATCTATAAAATGTTTAAGTTATCAGAATACAGTTATGTGTAACATAAAGTTATGTGGACCTGAATTAACATAAAATCTGGTTAATATTTGGTTAAAATTAACAAAAAATTTTTTACTGAGTAGTAAGTCTTTATAATGTAAGAAATGTTTACACATGAATATATTAAGGAATGCTTACGTCAACAGAGCATGGACAATTTCAGCCAAGACTCCAGTTTTTTTTTCAAGCGGCGCCAATGCCGCCTCGCATATAGATTTGAGCAAACACGCTTTTCCATCTCCAAATCCATATCTGGAACATTTATATAAAAATAAACGACTGCAAATCCATCAAGATGAAATGCGCTTTTAGCAATTTACTGTTTATTATTATTATTTTTATGAAATGAACCAAAGCGTTCGAAACTAAATAAACCACTAAAAGTGTTTTTATTTTTAAGATTTCATTCTAAAATAAATCAAATAGGATAAATAAGGGTAGTGAAAAAAGTTGAAAAGAGATTTATTATGACTAAAGCTCAGAAAAAGTTTATCTTACACCACTATCGATTTTTATACACGAGGGATTTAAATAACGGGTCTATTGGTGCAAACGACTGCTAAACAAATACCATCGCGATGTCTAAAATATTTTGTCCACACAAGTTTTTTTTATTCAATGACATTTAAATGTCATTACACATATTTTTTGATAAATCGAAATGTATCCCTTAAAAATGGACCGTTTAATCCGATATAGAAGCAGTTTTTCACAGTGAAAGTAAAGAAAATGTTTTATCGGCACTCCACGGTGGAGTCTTCACCCGAAATTAGGTTAAATCTAGTTTACTGCCAGCTAAATTAAAAGGTCAGTGCAATGTTTATATAAACTTTTCAAATATTGGAGAAACTATTTAATAATTTTCTATTTTTGTATAATAAAATAATTTTTACTTTTAGTATTATTTTACAAGAAGGGCACTTTATTTGAACGATTGTATGACATTAGACAACTGTCAACTACCTTAAAACTAACTTTAACCCGTGACTAAAATGCCATAAAGCCACATCTTGTCAACGTGTATCTAAAATAAAACATGAACGAATGGGCGTTTTAAAGGGAGGAGTGGAACAATTATATCTTACTAATTTGTATTTAAGAAAAACCCATGTGGATTTTTTTTAAACATATTTTAAAGTCGAGTTAAGAAATAATATTGTTTAGGACCTAAACTTTGGTAAAAGAATTAGGAAAGTTGCCTGAAATTTTGGAAATCTGGGGTCCATGTGAGCATACAAAACCAAGGACGTAGAAGACAAACGAAAGGGCAAAGAGTTTTAAAAAGTGAAAGCGAACGCAATTGTTTAATAAATTTTTCAAAATCTTTAATATCTTTCAAATGTTTAGAGTAATCGCTTAAACACATAAATCCTTTTTGGTAGAGCATTCAATTTCCTACAAAAATATATTTATGGGTGATTCAACAAAAGTTGGACAACTTGATGTCATCAGTCAATAGAGTAGGTATTTTAATATTTTTTGTAAATATTTTAGTAGATTACAAAAGATCCAGGTTTTTTTAACTTGTCCAACCAATTTTAATGTATTTTTTCAAAAGCACGTTTGTAGAAAAACATAATAAATATTCAAAACATCAGTACCTTGGCGTGTCACAACTCCTGAATCAAATATTTGAGTGATTTTATTTTAAAATATATTCAATTTATCTTAAATTTTTTAATTTCACTACAAACTATAAAACATTAAATAATGTATTTTTCATATTTTATCATAGATTCGAATAATAGCAATTTAAAAAAAAATTATAATCTTTGTACTCACTTTTACCCGTCAGTTCTGTGTCCAATGTTAAAATTCAAAATTTCTGCGAAATATTGAAGTTTAAATGTCAAGTCCTCATTTAAACTCAAGTGTTGGTAAACAATTACCTACAGAGCCCGCCCTTTGCACGACAGTCATCTTGAAAACAATGCATGCGGCGAAGTTGTGGTGAATGCACGTATACTATATATAGTTCCAGTCAAAATGTCAGTACTATGGTGAGTAGATATTTTCTTACGTATATATATTTCATTGTAATTTATATAAGGCTATATGTGATTTGTTGATAAGTAGCATCCACTAATAAAAAATATCAAAAAATACTTAATTCCGAATAATAATCTCAAATTTGTATCCCATTCATCAGTACCGTGTCGTCAATTCCATGTTCGATGTTTCGGTTATCTTTTTTTTGCAAACTTCAATTTAAATTCTGCTTGCGCAGAACTTGTTTATTTAATGTCATTATAAACTCATATAAGTTTGGTGTGGGTCCCATATCTAATAATTGAGATATCGGTATACCCAAAATCCACCAGCCGCCACTGATGTGTGGTATTATTTGATTTTAAGATATTTAATGTATAATATGCTCAAAGTTGCAATAAATCTAATATTTTCCAATAAATTATGTATTTAATTAGTACCCTGGTATACTCCTCACTTCCCTTGCATTCAAATTTAGAAAACACAGATATTTCAGAAACTGTTTGAAAAAGTGACTGGCCCGGTCTGGAACAGTATATTTATTATATTATCTCTGTTCTCATAACAAAATAATGTATAATTTTCTGCGAAAACTATATAAACAAAATAAGGTCATAAGTTGCCCAACTTTTGTAGAATCACCCTAGTGCACTTTCTAGAGGTGCCTAAGAATCAATTTTTCATTATCGGAAGCAAAAAAAATGATGAAATTGTCCCATTGTGTTTTTAATTAATGTGTGTCGTTAAAATCTACCAACCTTTTTAGAAACTGCTCGATAAGCTGATATATGACCCACCTGGACGTGGATCGTTTTCTTCTAGCGTAATCGATTGAAGGATGTGTGTAAGTCGAACTATTAGTTGGTAATAAATAAAACGCTTTTGCCACCACTCCCAAAGTTATGGCCTGATCCCTTAATTCGGTCGGCAGGCCTATACCAACTATCATCTGAGGAAAAAAACATAAAAACAACTTTAATTTTGTTATATAGATAATATATATTAGTGGGAATTGAAATATTATATTTCTTTATAAATTAGGGAAACAAGAAAATAATTTGCACTGAAAGAAGGTTTCATTTCAGCGAAAGGCATAACGTTTGTTTCAAACGTATGACATTTAAATACGGCGGAATGTACCAAGGTTTAATGGTAAGAAACCATCAGTTTGGAGCTTCCGGAAAACTGCTTTTGAACGAAACGCATATAGATTTGTGTCAAATTTGCTGAGTTTGAATTCTTTATTGAATACTTTTCTGATAATTTGGTAATTGCTTGCTACCAGTATAGTCGATTTTGTATGAATCAATGTAAGTTTGCCTCAAACTTACTAATTTTGAATTTTTTGGTAAGTAACTTTAGAAAAAATTGGTATCTGCTTGTTACCAATAAAGTTCAATTTCATTAAACGTACGTGCATTTCTGAAGACATTACGGTTTCTTTGGATGAAACGGCATAATGCTTAAGAATATTGTATACATCGTCGGCCTTATCACGAAGTGGCCTAACCCACAAAATTGAAAAACAAAATAAGATTTTTTGCAGATAAACTTACGATGGTCTATTCCATTCTCACGAAATGGCCTATGTATTTTTATAGTACAGACTTTGTACTATAGGCCACATCTAGGAGTAATAGAATAGACCATCGTAAGTTAACTCTCGCAAAATGTCACTGTTTTCAATTTTGTGGGTTAGGCCACTTTGTGATAAGGCTAACTATTTATACCATATTCTTAAACTTTATGCCGTTTCATCCAAATGTTTGCATGAAAGCAAAATTATTTTGTAAGAACCGTAAGTATACAGTGGAGGCAAATTTAAAACTTTAAGACACTGTACACACACTGTACGAGAAGACGCACCTAAGACCACTCTAAAAATTGCGCTTTCCAACTAAGCACAATTGCCCATTAACTTTGATATGTTTGCTACAAACTTATTAAATTTGTTGCAAATGCTGAGCTTTTCGCAAAAATGGTAGCAGATTTTTATCTATTTCAGTTAACCCATTAATAAATTTTAGTGGAAAATATTGCACGTTTTATGGGAACCCCCCTAAATTTATTTCAAACGTAAAAAACATAATCCTTATGACTACCAATAAAAAGTTTGCATACAACTTAATAATATTCCAAGCAAACACAGCAGCCTAAACGAATTAACCATTTCTGGCAAAGCAGTTTACCCATTCTTAGCAAAAGCACTAATTTTGAATTAAATTTTAGTTATTTGATTCAAAGCAATCAGGCTCAAACAATTGCAACGTTTGTTAAAAATATTCTTTTCCCTCAGTGTGGGCTGAACTTAGATTTATAATAAATTGGGAAAAAGTAAGGTTAAATTCAGGTCACAGTTTACAAATGCCATTAAAAAAAAATTGGTTTAAATTCTGTTTTGTGTTCGTCGTAGATAAAGTATAGTATGCAACTCGTTTATAAACTTCTCTAGACACTCGTTTTTATTAAACACGTTGTTATTAAACACTTAGGTCGTTCTTAATTAAACCTGTAACTAAAATGCCGTTTATAAAACTTGATACATAATATACTATTATGCCAAGTTCCATTTACTCCTTGGCTTGGGTAGTGCGAAAAATTTTAAATTTATATTTTTTATTCGCTATACCACCCAAATATTTACAATATTTACAATTTACATCCTCGCCTTATTTGTAATTTATGCGGATGCCACTTTGCATTCTGCCTTACACAAAGCCGTTAACCTTGCTAAACTTATTTTGATGGGCCACCCTGTATAAGTAAACCAAATTTCAGCTTGAAAGTTCTGTACTTACTTGGACCCAATTTATTCCTTCTTTCCAGACCAAGTATCTCTTTTGTCGAGACAGTAAAGCACCACTAGTGTCTAACAGTTTACCATCTAACTGGGAACATAGCGATAAAAACAATACGAATATCATTACTTTCATTCTGAAAAATAATAATAATAATCTGTAAAATACCCACATCAAATTAACTAACTATCTAAGCTGTTACATTGTTGTGTAAGTAATTATTTGGTTTTGTAAATATTATGGTATGGTTGACATAACAGGACTGCGTGACTCTGTTGTTTATTATAATTAAGGCCAAAAAGTTAGCCAATCAGTGGATTATATATTAATTTTACATACTTAGTAGGAAGCCTGGAATCATGGCATATAATGATTTAATTACGTTAAAATTAACGCTTTTATTAGTTTTTATAAACGTATATTTTAGTTCGTCAGTAAAGCATTATAAATCATTAAAGATCACTAAACTTATAATATCTATATTAAAAATGTTATTTTTTTTATATAAATAGGCAAAAATTTATGTTGCTTATTTTAATATATCTACAGTATTTATTTATAGTAAAATGCTCATTTTATTATATATTAGCCTAATATTATTAGGGTGCTTTTTTTCACGTATATTTTTATTTTTTCGCTCCCAACTCAAAATCTTGTTGAAAATGTTCAAAAAAAATTCCCTGAAAATTTGAGCCCTTAATATTAACTTAAAGTACTAAAATACTTAAATCGTATAAAGATTTCCCATTTAAAATACACTTAAACTTTGATTCTTTTTAAATATCTATATCTCAGCCGCATTTTATGCTATTGGATTGTTTTAAAAAGGGATTTACTCGTAATCAAAAGTTCTACAAAAATGCTTTATGTGCCATAGCTGTAATCTGCACCTGTAGGATGGTCAATGCTGGATTAACCAATAGGCCAACCTAGGCCATGGCCTAGGGCGCCGCGAAGCCAATAGGCGCCCAGGCAGAAGGCTCAATTTTTTTTAAGTAGGTGGAATATTAAAATTAATCAATTTAAATAAATAAGTATTTTATAAAAAACATTGTTTTAAATCCAAGTTAGTCATATGGTCAAAACTAATTAAGGAGAAAAACATTACTTCAACATTCCCCAATATTAATATTATATGATTCAATTACAAAATCCACATTACTATTATTATTAATAATAGTAATGTGGATTTTATACAGGAGAAAAATCTTTTTCTTTCTTAAAAAGAATAACAAAATTTCAACGCAGTTGGCTAGTAGACGAGAAGACTGCTCTTCTATAGAAGCAGAAGAAGCAAATAAAATATATTTTTAAAATATTCCTTTTCCGATTTTAAATGCAGGAAAATAAAATTGTAAATCGTCGTTGATGATGCAAAAGGTCGTGTCACTTGGACGCCTTTCTGCAGAAGAGAAATAACATACACTAAAAATCGTGAAATATGAGTTAATTATCTCGATTTTTTTTTATTTTTGTGGGTTGATTCCCTTGTGCAGAAAGGCGTCAAAGTGACCTTTTGCAGTATCAAGGACGAAATATTATAGATAAAATTCTGTTTAAGGTTATTTAAAAATTGTAAAATTAGTTCTTCAATGAAGAATCTTCATTGTTTTGTTTTTCTATATACAATATAATTACTTTTTTATTTTATTGAGACCCTACTTGTCCTCCTATGTGCACCCCTGTAAGCTAACATGTATTGTGTTATATTAATTTTAGGTACAAATTTGGGCTGTAATTATAGGCGCCATTATTATTGGCCTAGGGCGACAAATTGTCTTAATCCGGCCCTGAGGATGCTACGGGTCACTAAATCTTATTTTAGTGAAAAATATAGATATTTCAAAAGTGACTGGATTCTTTGAAAAAATGTAAAGAACAAACCTGGAAACGTGGAAAATTTAATTTAATTTAAAAGAGGTCTTATCAGTTGAATCGCTAAGATTGATATTTGATATTGATATATCAATATAAAGCGTTTATATTGACAATTTATGAAATTTTTAGGATTTTCGTGCCAAACTTTATAAATGATGATTTTCATTTGTTTATCAGTACAATTTCATCTAATTACGTTTTTTCTACAGTCGGGTTATTAGAGGAAAATAAATTACTCAAACAATCAAGCATAATTATTAATAACATAACTTTAAAGAGAAAAGATATATCTAACCTAAAAATTTATATAACGAGGTGTATTACATCCAACAGGTTATTTTATAATCTTGATTATGATTTTTAGATTTTACCCCTACCATTATGCACATTTATCTTAAATAACAAAGCCACTTTTTTTAAAAATTAATACTTATTGCACATTTTTCTGAGTACCACGATACCTACCCCATAAGTAGTATTTATTAAACATGGTTTTTCATATAGGGTACCTAATTAAATTACAAGTATGAATTTGTTATTGTTATCCGATGCTTTAGTTTTTTTGTGTTGAGGCTTTCGCTATTTAGCTATTCATAACCTTAAAATCAACCATTTTTATATTTGTGTTCTCTAAAAAACGCCGAGATACCTACGAATTCATGGCAACATAAAATTATATATAGTTCATAATATAATGGTATTTTACCGTTGAGTGGAGAATTTAAAGAATTCCTAATCAAGGCTTTTAATAATGCTAAATGCTGTTTAAATTTAGACGATTTTTTTGACGATTTTTACTGAATTGAAATGTTAACACTTTTCTTTTATTTCTTCATTCGGATTAACACTGTTTATTGGAAAACCGATAAAAACTCAACCCAGGATTTCCTCTCGAAATACACCCTACAACACAGCAAATCATGCCACGTTTTTTTTTTGATATTTTTTAACATTTTCCGGCTTTATTTTCAAAAACACTCGTTTGTAACACACGCGTTTGACAGCTCTGATTATCAAAAGTTGTACTTTTGTTACGATGATAACAGCCGAGTGGTGGCGCTACTAGCGATACTTCTTTAGCGTATAATATAATAATTATCTATATTTGACAGCAGTTTACAACTTGATATAAATAAAACACTTTTGGTTTTTATAATTTTTATTTCTTATAAAACGTCCGAAAAATCAACGGAAAGTATCCATTATGAAGTTACTGGAAAGGTTCGGACATGTTTCCTGGTGATAATCGCATTTTTCCATGAAAGACTTGAAA